GTACTGTATCGTTTACCATATGATACACCAACAAATCAATTATATAAAATAACTGAATCATTCTCATTAGAAGAAATGTTCAAAATCGAAAGACTGAAAATTACATACAATATCATAAATAAAAGATTGAAATCTAATTTTATTTTAACACGAAACAATGAAATTCATAATTATCAAACTAGACAACATGGTTTATTTCATCTTGATATCGCTAATACTTCTATAGGCCAAAAAAGATTCACCCACGCTGCTCTCTTGGAATATAACAAATTACCAGATAATATAAAAAATTGCAGAAATACAATAAAATTCAAATACCATCTTAAAAAATTTATCATTTCTGAACGAAATAGATGACTTACTTTTGATTCATATTGAAATTGATTTTTGCTCAGCAATATGAAATGATTTGTCAAAATTTAATAATTAATGTTTTCAAATATTTTATTGTTCATCAGTTTATTATAATTGTATAGTTTTAGGTATTATTGTTAACTATACTTCCTTATACCAGAACTTGATTCTGACTGGAAGTAACATTTTCAATAAATAAATAAATAAATAAATAAATAAATAAAACCATTCCAAGTATTCAAATGAGAATAAATTGCTTTATATAATTCAATTAGTTTAAAAGAGTTATTAGTTAAAAAGAAAAGTAATGTAGTATTTAAAGGAAGGACCTACATGAAAATGTAAAAAATTTTTATTGGTTCAATAAAGATCTCTCTCGATTAATATCGTGAATATCAAAACGGTTCGCGACAGTGAACTAGTTAGGGTTAGGTCTTCTAAATGATGAAACAGGCCCACCAATTTGTATACGAGGTGTTCTTGAAATAAGTGCACATATTCAGCACATTAATTAGACTGTATCATACAGTCTGAGGAATATTCCCATGACATCAGATTTTTTTAATTCTTCTAATAAATGAGCAATTTCATCTCAGAAATTGAACAAACTTCGAGAAGAAAATCGAGTATGCAACTTAAAAACAATTTAAATGACTGAACTCCGCGTGATTGTGCCTACCGCATGGAAATTTGAACAGAGGTGACGTCAGATTTGCTACAGTGTAGAACTTCGGGTGAAAACAGGGGTATAGCCTCAAATTTCATTCTGATCCCAACATTTTTTTTATTAGTGCCATTCGATAGTACACGTCGAGCTTTCTCAGTGTTTGAAATATTTGCACTTATTTCAATGTATTTTCCATATTTCTACCTATAAATGTGTACAGTGCCGTGAAGATGTCAAAATGAATTGACGAAACGTTGGCTTTGAAGAAATACAGTTTTCTTTACATGAATGCTAGATCTATGAAGAATAAGTTTGATCAACTGGAAATCATTGTCGGCAATATAGATCCAGACGTTCTTATCATATCAGAAACTTGGATGAACAAAGAAGAGGAATCGTTTTATAACTTTGCTAAATTTGAATCCATTTATGCCAGCAGAATACAACGAGGTGGAGGTGTTGGAGTCTTTATCAAAGAAGGAATACAATTTGAAACTTTGAAGAAAATTGAATCTGAAATGACATTTGTAGCTGTGAAACTGAAAAATCATGACCTGTGTCTGTCCGCTCTTTATCGGCCACCAAAATATAATATTGACATATTTTTTAAATTTATAGACAAAGAACTACAAAGCTGTTCCAAAAATAACTTCCATTGTCTATTATTTGGTGACTTCAATATCAATATGCTCTCAAATAGTAATGAATCAAATTTGATGAGGGACATTTATTCTTCAAACAACTTCCAGCTGTGTAACCCAACATATCCAACAAGAGAAGTAAATTCTTCCAGATCACTCTTGGATCATGTAGCCTCTAATTTCAATATAAATATTGAAATTTCACTGATAAACAGTGCGATAAGTGATCATAAATGATCATGTCAGAAGTTGAATTCGATCATTCACGTATTGGAAAAGATACCTCCAGGAGGAATATAGTAAAATTCGACATTGATCAAGTAAAGAAGAAATTGGAAGAACTGACTGTTAAAATTGATGATTTCGAAGAACCTGATGCCCTATACAATGAAATCACCAGTATATTCCAGGAGAACTCTTCCATATACACAGTGAAAACCAGAAACTATAACAAACCATGGTTTAATGATGAACTTTTATCCATGATTAAACTAAGAGACAAATGTTTTTATCAAAAGAAAAAAAATCCAAATGATGAAGGAATCATTGAACTATACAGTTATTATAATCGACTTGTCAAAAAAAACATCAGAAAGGCCAAAGAAAATTATTACAAAATCCAATTCTCGAATTCGTCTCCAAAATCCATGTGGAAAAGTATAAATCTTCTTCTTCATAACAAAACAGATATTAGAAGCAATGGGATTGATTATATCAAAGAAGATGGTCGAATAGTAGCAGATCCATTAGAAATATGTGAAGAAATGAATGAATATTTTGTTAACATAGGACCACGATTATCTGAAGTTATTCCCGACACTGATTCATTCTCTTCAGAAGTTATTGGAGATTCCAGCATGTGTTCGATGTTTTTGAAACCAACTAATGTTCAGGAGCTTGAAGAAATCATAAATGATCTGGATAATAAAAAAGCACCAGGATTTGATGACATTAATGTTCATATAGTCAGAGCAGTTAAATCAGAATTGGTGCCATTACTAACTAAATTGATAAATATAACATTCGAAACCGGTTCGATCCCCAAAAATTGTAAAATTGCAAAAGTGTTACCAATATTCAAAAATGGAAAAAAATATTCAATGAATAATTATAGGCCCATTTCTTTGCTACCAACATTATCCAAAATTATTGAAAGAGTTATGCATAAAAGATTATCTGATTATTTAATAAAAATTGATTGATGGTCAATATGGCTTTCGGAAATCCTGTGACACTGAATGTGCAACACTGGATGTTATTACTGACATTCAGCTGAAATTAGATTCAGACTACAGATGTGGACTCTTATCACTGGATTTGCGAAAGGCATTTGATACAGTCAATTTTGAAATTCTATTAATGAAATTAACTCAAATAGGGATAAGAGGTAAAGTTTACTCTTGGTTTGAAAATTATCTAATTGATAGAAAGCAGTTTGTATATATGGGAGATTCATTTTCTTCAATAAGAAACATATCTTGTGGTGTACCCCAGGGATCAATTCTCGGACCTATTTTATTTCTAATTTATATAAATTCTATCTCAAGATTGAAATTACAAGGGAATTTAAAATTATTTGCCGATGACACAACTCTCATTTATTACGGAAAAAATATACAAGAAATAAAAAACCAAATGGAACAAGATCTCGATTCAATAACATTATGGTTACAAGATCATAAATTGACACTCAATTTCGATAAATCTTCTTTTATGTTCATCTCGAAAAGAATTATACCTGATAACCGAATAGATCCGTTAAAATTCGGGAATTTTTGTATAAATCCTACAAAAAACTCCAAACTCTTAGGTTTAACTATAGACCAGACTCTATCTTGGTCATCGCATATTCAATTGCTCAGGAAAAAAATATCTCCCATTATTGGTATATTATACAAATTGAGGTCTTTTATACCTCTTAAATACTTGAAATTAATTTATTTCAGTTTGATTTACTCTAAATTGCAGTATCTGATATCGATCTGGGGTACTGCTGCAAAATCTGTTTTGAAACCTCTGAAATCTCTTCAAAATAAAGCCATAAAATGTATTTATAAACTACCATTTCTGGAATCAACATCTAGACTATACAAACCAAGAGATCTACTAGATATTGACTCTCTCTTCAAAATGAAAGTATGCATTTTCATTCATTTCACTAAAAATAAGAAAAAGCACTCGAATCTTGTCTTCAATGTCAATTCTGATACAAATGAGCATCACACCAGACAAAGTGAAAATTTGAAAACTGTTAAAATAAAAACCCAATTCGGGAAAAAATCATTGTATTTTGGTGGAATAAATATTTATAATAGTCTACACAACAGAATAAAATCTATTAGATTCGTCACAAAATTCAAGTGTGAACTGAAGAAATATATTTTATCAATTTAACTCTCCCCTTGTATCAATTAATTCTGATTGAACTGTTTATCTTTCATTGTATTGCATATTTGATTTTTTTTTATTTGTTTCCCACTAGAAACATTGTATGTTTCTTGGGATCAATGAATGTTATTATTAATATTGTTATTATTATTCGAAAATAATCCTCATAATCTAATACATTAGTTGTGTGTTGTGTTCTCTGTTATCTGCAGTAAGTATTCAATCCATGAAATTCATTCCATAATCTGATTGAAATAACAATCAGAAATATTCTTGCACTTGTAATAGAGATAGGTAAGTCGAATCATATATGGAGTTCTCGGATGATTACGTCACGCGTTTTTCATTTTATGAAATATCCTAAAAATCTAAACGGTTCGCGACAGTGAACTAGTTAGGGTTAGGTCTTCTAAATGATAAAACAGGCCCATCATTTTGTATACGAGGTGTTCTTGAAATAAGTGCACATATTCAGCACATTAATTAGACTGTATCATACAGTCTGAGGAATATTCCCATGACATCAGATTTTTTCTAATTCTTTTGATAAATGAGCAATTTCATCTCAGAAATTGAACAAACTACGAGAAAAAAATCGAGTACGCAACTTTAAAACAATTTAAATGACTGAACTCCGCGTGATTGTGAGGGGTATAGCCTCAAATTTCATTCTGATCCCAACATTTTTTTTATTAGTGCCATTCGATAGTACACGTCGAGCTTTCTCAGTGTTTGAAATATTTGCACTTATTTCAATGTATTTTCCATATTTCTACCTATAAATGTGTAACGAACCTTTTATCTTACAGTGCCGTGAAGATGTCAAAATGAATTGACGAAACGTTGGCTTTGAAGAAATACAGTTTTCTTTAATCTAAGACCTCAATCCCAAAAACAACACCACAATAATAAAACATACAAAATCAAAAAATAGACGCATTTTTCCTTACCTCCATCTCCCATCATGTTGTTCAGCTTGACCAGCCGATTCGGATGCGACGGCGGCAGCATGAAGGTGAAGTGCACCACGGGCACTTCACCGCTCAACTCCAGATGCTGCAGACAACTGATGTCGTAGCTGGTGAACGCTCGCCGGACGTACACTTCGAGGGCGGCGTTGCACACGGTGCGGTTCGAGTGGTAGAAGAAGTCGTGCAGGATGTCGAAGATGGAGGTCTCGGAGACGATCAGCTTCTGCAGGTTCTCCGGATGGAACTCCTGGCCGTACATGTCGACGGCCGAGAGGAAGATGCTCTCCATCTGGTTGTGACGCAGCTCGTAGGCGGGTTGGTGGGCGGCGATGAGGACCTGTCTGGCCCTGCAAACGGATACAGAGAATTTTTTTTTTATATTCGGTTATGCAAGACACATAACTGTTCATGTCAGGGATGAACATACAAAATCAATCAATCATCAAGGAATAATAATAAAAGTTTGCCAAATCTTAGTTTTTCCTTAGAGGACTTGATTCAGGAAATTATGTAGTAGCTGTTTTCATTGATCTCAAAAAAGGCTTTTGACACAGTTGATCATACAACACTTTTTGAAAACTTAGAAACAATGGGACTCAGAGGCACTGTGAGAAATATTTTGAATTCATATCTTGAAAATATTTCTAAAATTGGATTGTCAGGTAATTATACTATATATGCAGATGATACTGTACTTCTATACGAAAACAAAAACCCCATCATTCTAGAAAATATTATTAACGAAGATTTGAAAAAATTTGAAAAATGGCTTTATTCAAACATTTTAACAATTAACACCAATAAAACTGAATATAAAATATTCTATCAAAAAAATAAAAAGAATATTAGTCTCAATCTCCAAATTAAAAATAAAGTATTGAAAAGAACTACACAAATAAAGTATCTTGGTTTATGGATTGATGAAAAATTGAAATGGGACAAGCATATAGAGGTTCTGATACAAAAAATATCTCCAATCATTGGAGCTCTGCGAAGATGTCCTAAACTTGACAAAACAGTCATAAACATAGTACTTCATTCTCATATACTCAGTCGTATCACCTATATGATAAACGTTTGGGGATCTTGTTCAGAAAATTATTTCAGTAAAATATCTGCCCTTTATAAGAAAGCACTGAAAGTATTGTATCGCCTCTCATTTGATATTCCAACAAATGGTCTGTATGCGATAACAGAAAAATTTTCATTGGATGAATTATATAAAATAGATTCTCTTAAAGTTTCATATAATATAATAAACAATGATCTGAAATCCAATTTTGTTTTGGTAAGAAACACAGAAATTCATGGTCATCACACGAGACAATTAAACTTATTTCATCTTGATTCTGCTACTTCTATAATTGGCAAAAAAAAATTTACTCACGCTGCTCTAGCTGAATTTAATAAATTACAACATAATATAAAAAATTGCAGACATATTTCAAAATTTAAAATTGAATATAAAAAAACACATGATTTCATTCCGAAATGGATGAAATTGATACTTTGCCATCTACTGATTAGTCCCTGTGGCTATTTTTATGACTTGATCGATTTAGCATTTTTAGATTTTTTAGATTTTTATTGTTGTTGTTGTCACCTTATATTATTTTATTATTGTTGTTTGTAATCAACTTCCTCATACCAGAATTTTATTTCTGACTGGAAGCTAGTTTTTCAATAAACAATACAAAATCAACCAACTCTGTGTCAAATAAACTATTAATCAATAGGGGAGTCCCACAAAGCTCTGTTTTAGGACCTATACTATATTTTTTCTTTTATCGCTTGGAGCGCACGAAAGAAAATCCCTATTATGTTGAAAGAACATCGTGCTTTTCTAGGAAGGAAGAAAAAAATCTAATTTTTCTACAAACGTCAAAAAATGACAAGGTTCGCGCATTGATGACAAATTGCGAAGTGACACTTTTTTCAGTTTCCTACGTTACCATGATACCTTGCACAAAACAATGCGCGAAGTAAAACAGTGCGCGAAGTACCTACTTCGCGCATTGTTATATAAAATATATGAGATATTTTTATTTCAACTTCATGGTCATCAATCGATCAAATCCACGAAATCATTTATTTCTGAATGTTCAACAATAACTTGGTTTTATCTCTTGGAGCGCACGAAAGGAAATTCCTATTATGTTCGTGGAACATCGTGCGTACTTAGAGAGGATAGGGGGAGGCCTTTTAAGGCAGTTCAACACTATTTTTTCTATCAAACTGAGCATATTTTTACTTTAGAACTATATTTTTTGACGTTTGTAGAAAAAATGTTGTTTGCAACTCGAGCGCGAAATACTTTGGTCATCTCGACTAATTTTTTAACTCGGCAACGCCTCGTTAAAAAAATCAGATCTCGATCACCAAAGTAGCATTTCGCGCTCTAGATACAAAAATAACTATTTTGTTCCAATGGCCAATTGAGGAAAAATCACGGAAACGTCCCGAGATGGGGTCCCAGTGTATCATAATATGACTGACTCTTGATCAGAAGAAAATTTCTCGAGTTCTAGCAACATTGGAAATGTGTAATGGTTCCACTTTACGTCCTGTGTAAGTTTTGTTCTGCGGACTTTTTCAGAGTGTTCTAACTCTCTTTGATATCGAAAACCGCATGAAGATCGGTCAATTTTTTTCAAAAAATACAGGTCATCGAAAAAGAGTCAAATTATGAGTGGTCCATGTAGTGTGTTGAGAACTGTATTTCAATAGTTAGTGAAGTTGGCTGTGAAGTTCTCGTTTCGAGGGTTCCTCAAGTGCATTATCGAGGATCATGCAGTGGTATCAGTTTAATACCGAATGATTGGTGGCTAGAATACAACGGATTGCTATTGGATGAAACAACGAAAACGTCACATTTTGACATGGAAAAAATAATCATTATTATCATTCTCACCTCAGCGCCACACGAGAGTGTTCGCTACGATTCAGCGACGTCAATTCGGTGAGACAGCTGGCCAGCTCGTCGGTGAGGCCGGGCTCGTTGCTCCACAGGTGGTCGATCAGCATCGTCACCAGCAGATTCTTCTTGGCCACCTGGCTGTGCGAGAAGAGGATGGCCGACACGGCCGACATGTCGTCCTTGTGTTGGTCGCGCAACAGCGACACGCACTTGTCGTAGGAGCCTGGAAATCAATAGGCCTGGTTCAGTGAACACATTCATTTCATGTATGAAATTCCGATAAGTCGATGTGATTTTGTCTTTTTGACAGAGAAAATAGTTTGTCCTAACTTTTCTCTACGACTATCGTATTCTACATTGATTACATATATTTTAGTAATTGATGAATGAAGATGATTCCAAGACACCGTGAATCCCAACTCATTATTCAACGGCACTCGACCAATCACAGATTCATAATTTTCAGGATCCACAGCAACTGAAAAGGTTAGACTAATGAAAAAAAATAACGGCAGATTCGAATTCTTCAATGAATCGAACAATGTTCATCATCATCGAATAACAGTTCTTTCACACAAAAAAACATCAACTAGCAATATGAATAAAAATGTCAGTGTTGATTTAAATGCAACACCGACATTAAATTTCACGAATTGTGAGAATATCACTAAAAATTTAGTCACTAAGTACGAGAAACAAAATTTGACTGACCTAATAATTATTGTGTTGTTTCATCATTGAGTTCGTTGAATATTAAAGATTCCTGTCAATTGTATTATCATATCATTAAAGTTCATACATCAAGTATATTATTTTCATAAATAATAATTAGATTACATTAAATTTCTGACTATCGTATAGTCGTAGAGAAAGTAAAGTCTTCTACTCGCGTATAATAGCTATTATTCTCTCGGATAATTCCGAAACTCGCCTACGGCTCGGTTCGGAATCATATCCTCGGGAATAATAGCTATCATTATACGCTCGTTGAAGAATATACTATTCCAACGACTATTCCACTCTTGTTCTAGCGAATCAATCAGATTCGATCATTTTCACGGATTTCTCGTATTCAGGCGATATTTTTTGTTTACTAAAATTTATCTTGCTCTACCAATACAGAAGCCGAATTGACCTACACGTGACCAACATTCCTCGTTTTAAAGCGATTACATTTTTGACGTTTATAACGTCAATTAATGTTGGAAGCCAGAATATTGGATGCAGTGCGCGCAACTTTCGCGAGGCGCTCGTTTATTGTCTTAATCACTTTGTGGGCAGGTTTGAAACGTGACCAAAATTCCCAAACAGCTGGTTGGTTAAACCGATGGTCAGACTTCACACTGAACGTATGTGCCCGGTCAAACCACAGACTTGACACAGCCTAAAATTCCAATCATCATTATTTTCTCTTGAATTCCATAATTACGACGACAATGATTTTTTCGGTATGCATCTGCAAATGACATTGATACGATCGATATATAGTCAATGATATCATAGGAGTGGATGGAGGTCACAGGGATGCTTCAAAACATGTATAATATACATGGCATTCCATTGAAAAAATTACCCCGACTCTCTAGATTTTTTCAATAATTTCTAGCTATCATAGAACTCGAGCAATGGAGCTCCAACGCACTTTGCCCCACCTTGTGTATACAGGGTGTAATTTAATTGATGGCTAAAAATATAGGATATGGTTCCTTGACTCATTTTATGAAGAAAAGTTCATATGAACATATGCCCTAAACTTCTAAACTGTCACGTTTATGAATACTTGACACAATAAGGGCTGGTTGCATAAAGCTCTCTGTTAACTTAACGAGGAATCAAAGCTTCATAATTTATCTGAGAATATTCCTTTTCAACAACTCTTCTAACTCATCAGCTGAGGTAGACGTTGCTATGGATACAAACAAATCAAATATTTAATCGCCTGTTAATTGCTTTATGCAACCGCAACGTAATCGATCGAATGTTATTATTTCAAATACAAAATATGGCACCACCCTACACTAATACTGTAGAGTTGAGTCTTCTTTCCATGTGAATAGTTAATATATTTTCATTGATAATTGAGAAATATGCTTTGGGTGCTTATCACGTCATCGAGAGCTACCCTTTTTGGAAGGTGATTATATTCATAAATGAAAGAAATATTTATATATAATATCTGCATCAAATACTATTGATTCAAGAAAAATAGATATGTGGCGAAAATTCGACTAGTGTGTACAACCCTATTACAACTGAACATGAGCTAACAGGTTGACTTGAAATATTATAGCAAAGAATGAGGAGCGAGGACAAATAAGCCATATTCCACTACACAAATAGATTGACAGATTTTTACATCAACTTCTCCATTTTTGATGAATTGAAATATTATGGACTTCAATATGGTTTACGATAGTGAACTAGAATACGTTAATTATTTCAAATGATAAAAAAAACATTTTTCTCAGAACTAGGCATATTGATACAAATCTTACCTTGCTGGAATTGACTTTCTACTTCATAGTACTGTTTCAACAATTCTTGAACAGCATGCTTCATTCTCCCGCGAATGCCATTCCTATACCTGAAAAATTATGAGAATAGTATATTATTTATGTGTTTAACTCATATACATAGTACGAATATATACACCGTGTCCCAGCTAAAATGTCCTCCCCTGTAAAAAATCAACCGCGCGATAGAATGACTTGAAATTTGGTCACTCAGTATATTTGATGATATTCACTCGAAATATGCTATTGAATAAATCGTAGGTATACAGGGTCACACCGAAGTGCACCTCAACTTTCTTATTTGAATAGGGACACCCAGTATATTATTCCATATTCAAGTAGAGTTCATTATTACAAATTCAACAATACCAGGTTTGATGGGATTTTTTCGAACGACTACGAAGATATGGCAAAAAATTAAACGATTCAAGAAAAAATTTATATGAATAGATTTTATCAATATAACACGATTGAAATCGAATGAAAAGAAAATAGTTGAAATCTAATACCCACCAATTGTCTCGATATAGCAACTGGCCAGCTCGGTCGCCAGACCTCACCCCACTTGATTTTCATTTGTGGGGCTACTTGAAATGCAACAGGTTTATGAGTCGCCAATTGTGAATATGGAAGAAATGAAAGAGAAAATCACGAATTTATGCGCAGAAATTGATCGCAACGTGAAGAGCTAGGAAATGTTTGCAGCAGAATGGACGACATATTGAGCAGTTGAGGTTTTAATTATTTTTTTTTATTCGATTCCAATCGTGTTATATTAATAAAATCTAATCACATACATTTTTTATTGAATCGTTTTATTTTTTGTCATATCTTCGTATTCGTTTGAAAAAATCCCATCAAACCTGGCATTGTTGAATTTGTAATAATGAACTCTACTTGAATATGGAATAATATACAGGGTGTACCTATTCAAATAGAAAAGTTTTGATGCAGTTCGATGTGACCCTGTATATCTTGGATTTATTCAATAGCATATTTCGAGTGAGCATCATCAAATATACTGGGTGACCGAATTTCAAGTCATTCGATCGCGCGGTTTATTTTTTACAGGGGGGGACAGTTTAGCTGGGACACGGTGTATATATCGAACATACAGAGTGTTCACTAGCCTGTTCTACAGTTTTCAGTAATTCTTTGAAATTGTTTGCTTCCAAGGTTCACATACTATTCACTGAACTAACCTTTTTGTTACCTCACGTATATTCAATATTTGATCATAGCCTTACAGCTGATTGAAATGTCAGAAGATAGTATAATTTGATTCAGAATAGTTGAAAAATATAAATGAAACAAAAATACGCACCTCTGAACAAGCTGTATAATCCCTTCAGTGGCCAAGAAAAATGCATCCCTCTCCACTCTTCTGTGCATACCAGCTGCATGGGTGTCAATTACACCAGCAATCTAAAAATATCAAAATCATAAAGGCGATTCCATAACTCCGTAACACGTGTCTAGCTCAAATGTATGGTATATCGTACACTGGGCTTTTGTTTGAACAGAGATAAAAGTTCAAAACCAACAATTTTTAGCAAACTTCAATACCATGTATAATCAAATCCTCCTCAACAAAACGAAGGACAAATCAGATGATTTGCTTCAAAATGTCACCGTGCTTAAAATTTACCTATGAAAAACCTAGAGAAAAATTCAACTGATTGTCAGTGACACCTTGTTAGTAAAATGTTTGAAAAATATTTTGGAAAAATACAAAAGGAAAATAATCTTAAAGATATTTTTATAATGATATATCATAATATTTTCGCTCTCTATTTTGAAACGTTCAAATATTGGGTTAGTACTTTCAAATGATAAAATAAATTTTTTTCTATAATAGTCCCACCATCATGTTCTTCACATTGATATTCGCCTATTGTCAGAACTCGACAATTGATCACATAAACTCGCCAAACTTTAACAATTATTATCTGCCGATGAAAATACTCTCAGAGTTACGATACTATACAGGGATTTCTTGAAGTTGAGGCATTTTTTAACAGGATGTAGAACACATCAGAATAAATAATTTCACCGGAAATTGCCTATATAAAAATTACAAAATAACTGTTCACAAACTCATAGATAGAATTGGCTCTATTACAATTCTGGTATATTTACAAAATTGTTTGGCCATGAGTCACTATAAGCGGCAAAAATACTTTGCCTACGAACAAATTCACAAGCATTCTCTATTCGCTGTCTCAATTCTTCCACGGTATTCACTTCCTCGTCACAATACTAGAAGTTTTTCAAAGAAAGAAATCGCAGGATTTAGGTCCAGGGAGTGTGCAGGTCAAAAAATTGCCCATTACGCCCAATCCATTTATTGAGAAACACGTTATCCAAATGTTTCCGAACTTTTCGTCTGGAATGTATTCAAGCTTCATCAAGTGGAAACCACATTGCCTGTCTTAACATTCAAAGTCACATCTGCAAACAATTCGAGCAAATTATTTTATAAAAAAAATGAGAAATTGTCACCTGAAATCCGGGATGGAAGAAAGAATGGCTAGATAAGAATGCAATCAACACGCCTAGCTCAAAAGTTCAATGAAAATTTTCTTTTGCTCAAATAATGTGAATTTTTAAAGATATTCACCACATCTCGTGTGAATGTGGCAAAATGATGTATGTAAAATATCTGTTGTTATGGTGCTAATTCAGAAACCACAGATAAAATTCTATCGTAGGACGATCTTGAGGTTGTAACGCTTGTAGTACTCTTCGAGAATGGTGTGGATAAAATTGTTCTTGTGTTATTGTCTTCCATGCTTTACTGTGAGTCACTCCAAATTGTCTTGCTATGGACCTAGTACTCATTGTTGAATCGTCATCGATCAATTCAAGAAGGTTTTCCTCAATTTCAGCCATTTCGGGTGGTACAGGTATTCCCTACTCTTTGTCAAGGATTTAACTTATTTATTTATTTATTTCATTCTTTGCTATAAACATTACATTGCATCTCATATAAATATAATCATTAACATTTACAATGGAATAACATGAATAATCAGACAGATTCATATCTGGTATGAGATTATTCATGCGTTATCAAATTAAATTTTAGTTATTGAAATAAATAACAGAATAAAAAAAAAAAACAACAAGCTCATGAAAAGTAGGTACATTATGACATGATGAAATAAATTAGTCAATGAGAAATCCACTCAGGTTTGATTTTCTCGTTGCAAGAGGATATGTTTCTTGACTTTGATTTTGAATTAGGTGATATTTGTGCAACTTTTGATATCATCAGGTAATTTATTGAATTTTGAGATAGCTCCGTGAGTAAACTTTTTTTGACCAAGTGTAGAATTAGCAGCATCAAATTAACGAACATTCGGAATGTTGGATAACTTCTTAACAATAATCTTTCCGTGTACAAACAAAATGCTGCTGCTGCACTTTGGCGCCACTCACCATAATATAAAAGTATGTCAACAAGTTCATTACTTTCGTAAACTTCAGCCATTGTGTGCTACACAAACAAACTTCTACTGTGGGCAGTAGTAGGGGATCAGTCGGGTAGTCAGATAATCACCAAACAGATGGCCAGGACCGTAAAAAAATCGTTTGAAATTCATGAATGTTCAATTAATAATAATAATCTGTCTATTTCATATCTTCTTGAAAAAAACGCCTCACCTTCGAGAACGCCGTGCATAACTTTCCACTCACTTACCTGTTGACTAGGAAACTGAGCAAGAACAGACGTAATGTTCCTTTCATATAGAGCCATCAACCGACGGATCTTCTTTTCGACAGCAGCCGGTATTCTTCCGGACATGGACGCCATAACTTCTTGCAGTTCGAGAAGAGGAAGACTCGGATCTCTCATACACGACATGAACTTTTCGATGACTTCGCGAAGGCGTGGTGCGTTGTAGGGATCAGGAAGACAATATCCTTGAAGAAAACATAAAATATATATTACTAATGTTGACAGTTAAATGAAGTTATGATAAGTGATCATGGTTATAGTAATAATAATAATAATAATATAAGTTTATTCAAAAACGTTTACAAAATATACATTGGAATAAACATAAAGGTAATTTGAATAAACTGGGGAAAACCTTACGAAGTTAACCTTGTAGTAAGGATAAAAAATAAATAAATGTACATAGGTCAATAAATATTTAACAATATCAAGTTATCACAATTGAAAATTGTCTCATTAAGAAATGAGACAAGTATTCAATTCATAATATATAGTGTACGGAGCATTTCATTCAATACGCATAATTATTTATATTCATACATACTTATTCACAATTATTATTAAAATTTATCTAATGATATTATTAAATGTTAATTAAAGAAATAAAATAATTTTTAGGGGAGTTTAATATCCAGTTTTTTATTTTTATTGTATAGGATTGTAGTGATTTTGTTTTTATAATATCATTTGGAATTTTATTATATAGGTAAGGAATTAAAAATTTAAAATTTCTACGTCCAAATGACTTGTTTGTTTTATATTTCAATGTTATGTTATTTTTATTTCTTATGTCATAGATATGTTTTTTAAACTGAATGTCCTTTTTATTTTTGAAAATATGAATCAGTAAATTGTAAATATAGAGTTGATTTATATCCATTTTCTTAGATTCCTTATATAAAAGTTCAGTTGGAAACAAATAAGCTTTTCCATAAATAATTTTTAAAATCCATTTTTGTGCAATTTCCAATTTTCTCAAATATATCTGCTTCACTCCACCCCATCCTAATATCCCATAAACTAATTGAGATTGAACTAAAGCATAGTATATCATTTCTAAATTTCGAATATTCAATAAGTTTTTCAAATGTTTGAATTTAGGAATGAAATTACGACTTAACCTGTCATTCATAAAGTTCAGACCAGAATTGCCTATAAGTAAGTCGGAGAGTGTTGAGATTATGCGTCAAGAGAACAAAATCAGGCACTCAATGAATATCCATCAATTTTCAAGCATGATAAATTAAGACAAAAAACATTGAGTGCGGAAAGAGTTCATACAGGGCCTACTCTATCTAACCGGGCCGGAGCATCGCTTTCGTGACGTCACACTAGTAGGGACAAAATCAATGCAACGAAAATTGTCTTCCCCGTTTCATTGATGTACCTCGGGAAAACGGTTACAGTTAGCAAAAAATATCAAGAGGTCAAATATGTAAAGAACAGAATGTTCCATAAAATGAATCAACTTTCACTGATTTACGATCATTGGTTTCTGAAATATCGCATATCAAAATTAATTGACGCCATTCAGAATTGTCCTTTTTTAAATAGCTACCAAAATTCCAATATTCAATTCACAGACATGATTCAATCATGAAAAGATTCCTCATAGCATCTAGATTGACTGAGTTTTTTTTTAAATTCCCAAGGGCCAATAACAAACCGATATTTCAATTTAAGTAGAACGATGATTCACAAGAAATTAAACTATTCAGGTTTTCATCGATCTCTTTCAAACGCCAATGCAAATCTTTGATTTCTGTATTGGTATACGAATTTAAGTAGTCACATAACTTTCGGAATGTACACCAAGATTTCAATTTGTTGTCTTTTCCTAAATATTCCCTAATTGTTTCATCACTGTCGTTTATCACATAATTCAAATAATAAATATTTATAGAGCAATCATTATGTACCTTGATAGAAATCAACACCTTTGGTACATGTGTTGAATCTAATTTATAAAAACATATATGATCGGTAGCAATAATATGACTAAATTTTGAAATATTCACATTCATTTCTTGGTCCTCTAGTATCTTCTTCTTGAATCCTTCATAACTCTCAATGGCATCAAATTTTTTATTTTCTTCCAGAATCTTCCTATTTTCATCAAAATTTTTAGTTTTCAACTCATCGCGTCTTTTTTGTGGGTCCGTTCTGTTGAGTGGTAGATTTTTAGTGAAATAAATCGGTTGATTTTGAAATTTTGTCGGAAATGCATCATCTGACAGTTTTGGTCGAGATCTTTCGAATATTATTAATGTCCCATCTTCCCTTCTGCACTGATCTGTGCGTATTATGAATTTCTCATCGAAATGTTTTATACAAACGCGGGAACAGTTTTTCACCTCGAAATCATCTCTATGTATCGCCGAGCACCATTTCCTTCTCAACTCAGGTTCTTTTGGAAAACTGAACACAGTCACATAATTGAGGTTATTTTTTGTGGAATAATTGCTGTCGCAACAAGGAACACTGCATCGAAATGGCATTATTATAATTTCACCCTGAAGAGGAAATCAGACTTCAGAACATTCTCATTACCTATTACTTTTTTTATTCGAACATACCTGTCTTCAATATTCCATTCAACACTAGCACTAAAACAATTCGTACGCCTGAACCATACGCCATTCATGAATAAAATGCGTGATAATAAGTATATCGCCCTTTACCAGTCTAAGGAATTACCGCGAAATCGTAATACTGCGAAATTGGGGTAGGTAGGCATAATGACCCATTTTTTACGCGCTCTCTATATTTAATTTCTTTCGGACTCATTGTAGGTAGTTCTGAAATTTTTTCACTATTCAATTGATGCATTATCCTAGTTTGATATACTGAGTTTGTTTTATCTTATTCCGATTCCAAATTTGCAAAAAATAGTATTCTGTAGTACAGCGTCCTGATTTTCAATAAAATGGAATTTCTGTACAACGCCATAACTCGGTATTGATTCATCCTATTGGATTCATTTTTTCACCAAAAGTTGGGGAATTCGTTGGGGATCATTTCGTCTCGATTGTGTGTGCTTCTAAAATTTATAGTAAATGAGGTATAGCCCATTAATTACGAACGCACCAGTACGAACTGGAGTGAAATCTCTACCTACTAGTGTGACGTAAGCGTCGAGAGAGAGAGGGGATAGACTATGGCCCGGTTAGATAGAGTAGGCCCTGGTTCATACCAGTAAAAAAACGAATGGAAAAAGGTATAACATTCCCATGATATATTCACTAGCAGAGGGTAAAATAGCGTTGCTCCGCCAACTACTTCGGAACAAAGAAGTAAGGTTTAAATGGAGTACATGTCGGATTTGCCAAAATCCTTTACACAAAGGCCAATTTCATGACTGAAACTTCAAAAATGGTTCAACACGGTAGTAGATAAATTGAATTTTCAAAATAGTGTCGATATATCCACAATCAGTGAGAATTTTCACTTATATATCGTCTTCGACTCGGGAGAATTTTCGAAATATTCGTGTTCTCGAAAAAATTCCCGGAAAGAATTGAAGCTAAAGTGGTATTCGGTAAGAAAATTTCACACTGAAATATTATATTGCAAGTATACCTACATAATATTATATGGTAAACTGTTGATAAATGATTTTTATTTATTGACTTAAAGAATGAACTCTAAATAATCTGAAGTAAAATATACGAAATACAGGCTTTAAATTGATCGAAAATGTTTGGTGTGAAATTTTCAATTAAATAAGATATCTCGGGCCCATTTTCATCCTGAAACAGTTGAGAATGATCAGTTTTGTGTCAAAGCTGTAGGAAAAAGATATCGATTGAACTTTCTCGAAATGATATCACTTCAATTGGCTCGACTCACCTTTCAGTGTATTCTCTAGAGCCGTCCTATAGCTACTGTGGATGTGATTGAGCTTTTCAGGCATCGGCGGCAGAGACACGTCCGACTCAGCGAACGGCCCTTTGTACAAGACGGCCTTCGTCACGAGCGAAGGGTCGTCCAGTTCCAGAGTGGCGATGATCGAACCAGCGTCCAGGACAGCGCCTGGACGTTTCACGTATGTCACGAGGCCGGATTCGCTGGCAGTCAGTGTCATCACCATTTTCATTACCTGAGAAGTAGAACATTTTTGCTTTTACCCTCAATTATTTACTCAAACAAGATGAACCATCCTTGTGATCTATGAGCAAGAAGGTGAACTACTTCTGAGTAGTGAACAGTAGAGATCGGTAATGCAGAATATATTCGAAATTTATGTTTTTATGCAAGGAGGAATTTCGCATCAGGACCAAATTAAAATATTGATATTATTTGAAAGGCAGAATATCAAAGTAATTGATATTCCTGCTTAAGAAAAAATAATTGACTCAAGCACTCGAGCAGATTCCGAGACAATAGACTTGTAAGACTTGTTTATGTACACAGCTGCAATAAGCATGTAGGTAACAAAAATATAAATCTAACATACTATTTTTTACTAAAACAAAAGCAAAAGCTATTGCACAGTTGATAAGGTTACATTTTGGGATTATCCTAGCTCTTATTTGCCACAGGGCGATATTCAAATATGTGGCCAAACTGCAAAAGTTGATTTTTCGAGTAATTCCAAGTCGAAAAGTCCATGCAAACATGGATCCGGAAATACACCGTTTTCAAGATACAGGGTGTCAAAGATGAAAAAAATCGCGTTTTCGTAAATATGGCAGAAATTACTGATCCAGTTTTGTTCAAATATTGCAGTATTATTTATAGTAGTAGGGTTCTTATTAAGCCATTACTAAATTTACGAAAAACCTATTTTTTCAAAAATGTTTGACACTGAGTATCTTGAAAATTGGGTATTTTCAGAGCTATGGTCATATGAACTTTTCCCCTTAGAATCACTAGATAAATCACTCCTTGAAATTTGGCCACATACTTGGATAACAACCTGTATAAGTGCTAGTTAATTTTATCGCATCTAGACTGAAAAAGCTAGAAACCTAGGAGAGAAGTGAGACATGAACTGCACGAAAGTGTACTATGTTTTATTTTACTCTACAATATTATTTCACATCTTACTATGAGGACATGCAACCGAGGTAAATCGCTTTCACCTAAACAAAAAAGGGTAATAAGCCCACCATACTTTGATATTTTTGATTATTTTTCACCGCTAGATGATGCTTCCCGATACGAAACTTTATCTCCATTTAACCGACCTTCTAACTAGTATGGTTTGGAAGTTGCCAATACAATTCCATCAAAAAAGTGGCTACCCCGTATAGCTTTTCACTGTATTAGCTCAATGGGGGACTTAGCTCCACATTGCCAACCTAAAAACCTCTACCACTGTGAGAGCAATATGATGGAAGTTAAATCATTCAAATAGCTTTATTTTGGTGATATCTGATTGTAGGTGTCTATTCAGCTTCCTAATGAAAGTTATTCAGAAGAAAAATCAGTTTTTGTGAACTTCACATCTGATCATCTTGATGCATCTGCGGTACGTCAATATTGAAATGTCTATACTTTCAATAGTGTCAGTAGTGTCACGAGTAAAAAATGATATATCAATGAATCAGTAAGTTCAGATCACGTTAGAATTTCGAATAATGATCAATAAACTCTCATGAGAAACGTGCAAACCTATAATGAACTGGATGTGAGGGTTCCGAAGTTTTCTGGTCTGGGGTTACTCTCGACTCGTCGTAATGGTAATCAACATAACATTGTTATTAGGCCTTTTTATTTATTGTTGTTCATTTATATTTCGTCACTACCCATAATATCTCATGCTATAATAAATATCGTGATGTTCGGCTAGTCTTGTGATTTGACCTATTCTTAAACTATCTGTGTCTAATTATCTGAATAAAGGAATGTTATTATGATATTTTTCTCTCCGACATTTGTGATATGTATCTCTATTAACTTTGACCAGTTTTATCTAAGGTGAGCCGTGTAAGCTTTGAAAGTATTTATTGGATAATTTCTTTTCCCTATTGTTTTTTTTACTAGGAAAATGTTTATTATTACATAGGTATGTTTGTTTTTATTTATCATAGGTATCGACTGCGATTTCTTCGTTTCCACACAGTTATAGTTTCATCCACTAAAAGACACTTCCTTGGGTTATTTTTTCATTTCAGGGAATGGTTGAAATTTCATTATTTTATTCCTACGAAGCCATATCTGGATCGGTTTTTAGCACTCAAATGAATTAATATATTAATATATCCTACTGCAACGATCAAACTTCTTCACCAAATAATGGTGTTGTCCATATATAAAATTATCTCAAATATGTAACAAAAATGTGATAAGTAAAAAAATTTACATATTTCATAATGAAAGCAGGTGCATCAACATAATTTTCAATCTATTAGAACTGGAGATCACAAACATTTATTTTTCTTCTGAATAACTTCTATTAGTGAGCTGAGTAGACTCCTACAATCAGATTTCATCAAAATAAAGCCATTTGATTGATAAAACTTCCATAATGTTGCTTCTACATTAGTAGAGGTTTTTAGGTTGGCAACTTGGAGCAAAGTCCCCCATTGATCTTGTATTCCGTTCATTTCATTTCAAAGAATGAAGTTTGAGTGTATATGTGTCAGATTACAAGTTTTGTTTAGAAGAGCTAAATAGGCAGTGACACGAAATTCCACTTCTATAGTCTCTTTGCACAAAGAAGAGTGATGTTATATTCACGTCACAAGACAATGTCGCTCAACCCCATATTATGAATCATGAATCCGGCATAGAGAAAGGATGGAGGTAGCAGAGACTGCTGTTTCGAGAAATCATGATATCGCAATTGAATTGGCAGAGGAATAACTTTGTATGATTTTCCGGCGTTGTTTGATGATTCGAAATATGGTGGATTTCAAATTGAAATAGTGTATGAAGCCTCCACAAAAACTAAATTATATACTTTCAAATGACGAATCAATTTTTTTTTTCAGGCTTAATCAGGAGAATTTTTGTTTCAGAAATTCTCTGAATCTATTGAATTGAGTTCCTATATGTGAGTAAAGTACAGTAGAAATGATAGTGAAGGAATTTCCTTACTTTCTCGGTATGTCACTTTGTTTTTGTTTCAAAGATGTCATGATATCACATGTATTCTTCATTCTTACCTCTATTTCAGCGAATGCCTGCCCTTTAACAACGTGTCCACCATCGTCAATGATGTACCCGATGAGTTTTCCAGCAGAAGGTGATCTTATGATTGTCGGATCATTCTCTTTTTCGAAAACGCAAGTCTGGTTACCGATCACAATTCGATAGCGATCTATTTCTTCTTTCATATAAGTTGCGAACGAAGAACCATCAATCGATACGAGTATTCCTGAAAACAAGAACATATCAAGATAATTATGTTACATGAAAATTAGTCGGCCATTCATACAGGGTGTCCCACGACGATTAAGACAGGGAATATTTCGGAACACATTTTTTTTATATTATGTTAGCCAAAACAAAACCACTCTTTTATTCTATGAACTCACCTCCATCAGTCAAATGATGCAATTCAACTTCCTTGAAAGACCCGTTCATCTGCAGGAAATACATGTTCGGTCCACTTTTGGTTGCTTGTACTTTATATTTGTTCCTGCAAAACAAAGTTACACTTGTGATGCTCGGAGACAAAAATGTTTTATTTTTGTGATATGAAACATGAACACATGAACACTTCGATCATAGAAAAGACTAGATGAGTAATACCCATGTATGTTACATTAATTTTGTTGGCCTGCATCTTGTCGACGAAGAGAGCTGTTGATCGAATGACATGAGTATATATAATTTTGTCCTCCAATGTATGGCATAGTCGTGCTTAGAGTCACTGGATGGTATTAGTTAGGTAAGAATTCGGACCATGTTCGGACACAGCTGAACTTCTGTCCATTTTTATTTTCTATATTACAATGGTATGAGTGAATAAAAGAATAAGAAATATATTCTGCTCCTTGCCTTTTCAATTCCCCTAGTAGCGCCTGGTTGTCAGATACGATTTTAGAGGTTAGGTTTTCAGTCGAATCAATCATAGCCGTAGAAGGAAGATAGAAATAGGGTACCCTCTTCAATTTATAGCGATACATTTTCAGCAGAACAACAGTTCTGCACATGAAAAGAATGCATGTTAGACAACATTTTAATGTGACAAAATAAAAACATTTGGATACATACTACTACTAGCTAATTCCTAAGAGTGATGAAGTTTGAAACATGAATGAGATTGTTTTGATTTTCCACCTTTTGCTGCATTCACTGATGCATTCATTGAAACATTTTGAATTTGGTCGTTATTGAAAACACCATTCAATGATATATCACGCTGCAATTTACTTGATTTCCTCAGTTTCATTCTCAAATTTTCAATTTCATTACGTAGTTTTGCAATCAATTCCTCTTTCTCAATGATAATTTTGTTTTGCATTTCGTGTGATGATAATATTGAATATTTTTAAATAGTCTGTTTTGTCAATTAGTGGAACAGCAAATTCTCTTGAACGGATCTTAAAATCGTCTGTTTGAAAATGGGCCTGAAATATAGTTTCATTCTAATCTGCTATTATGAGAAGTGAATTTTAATGTATGTACCTCACAAATTACAATTTTTGCTTGTCCTCAAATTAATTTTCCATGCAGAACGTTTCATACATTCCTTCTATAAGGGAATGGTTGATTTCCTCTGGAAATTCAAAGAAATGAAATCCATTCTCTTTAGAATTCCCACAATTCATTACACGGCGTTTCATTTGTACTTCTTTCATAATGGTTTATGAAATTATATTTCAATTCTAATGTTCATAAAATTTATTGTCGAATTCAAACAATTTTGAATGAAAAAGTGCTGAACGGCTATGGTGCTCTTCTCACAATGCAAGGTGTGTAACTTGATAAATCTAAACGTTCAAAAACACTCAGTTGTCATTTCGGTGTCCGAACTAACTAATACCATCCAGTGACTCTAGTCGTGCTCTACTCAGAAGTGTATAGGTATTCAATTCAGTGAGGAAGACAGAGATACATTCTAGACAAGTACATCTTGGCAGACAACAAAGCAGTTCATTTAACATTGATTGTCTTCATTACCCAAGAAACATAGTTGTTTATAATAGGGATACATAAACAATATACATAGTGTTATACATACAATTATGAAATTATAATAAGATATAACAAGTAAAAAAAAAGAAAAAAATGCAAATAATCATGCAATATCAACCTAGTCTTTTATAAGTAGGTATTCAAATTGGAAATGGAATTATCAAAGTCTCTGAAGCAGATATTTTTTAAGTTAATTTTGAATCTAGTTGCTTCCTGTATATTCCTCAATTGACTTGGTAATGAGTTGTATAGAACGATTCCTGTGTGAAAAATTGATTTTTTGCCGATATTTGACTTGAACGTATTTGCTATTAGTAAATTTGATTGTCTTGTTCCATGATTATGTAATGAATTGATTTCATTGAAATTTAAATTCGAAATTTTCAATTGATATAGAACAAATTGAATAAAACAACATATTTTAAGTTTATATAGTGATGTCAGATCTAATAAATCTCTAGGTTTGTATAAATTCATGGTTGGTTCGAGAAAATTTAAATTAAAAATACACTTCAATGTTTTATTTTGTAATTTCATTAGTGGACTCAAACGTGAAATATTGGTACTTCCCCATATAGATATTAGGTATTGAAATTTTGAGTAAATAAGAGAGAAATAAATACTCTTCAAGTATCTGGTAGAAATGAAATTTCGTATTTTGAATAAAATGCCTGTAATAGGATTGAGTTTGTTCCTCAAATGATCTATATGTTTATTCCACAATAGTCGTTCATCAATATAAAGACCTAAAAATTTTGTAACATCTGTATATTTGATGAGTTTATTGTTGAAGGATAGTGTTCTATTTGAAATTTTCAATGTTCTTTTTGCTATGTACATATATGAGGATTTGTTATAATTGAGAGATAGTTTATGAACTTGTAACCAAGAGGATATTTTCTCTAAATCACTTTTCATGTCCATGATAATATTATTTGAATCTTTAGAGAAATAAATCAATGTCGTGTCATCTGCAAATAATTTAAGTTTTCCTCTCAATTTCAAGTTTGATATTGAATTTATGTAGATCAAAAATAAAAGGGTGTTACCCAGCTCTCAAGTGAACCACATCACTCTTTTCACATTGGGACTTGCAAAAAAGTCTCATTAGGGACTAGTTGCTAACGTGCAAACGTCCCCCACTTCTACCAGAACCATTCTATATTTTTTATTGTTGTGAAATATGAAGGTTGGCCGAACTGACGATGATTTGTATAGGAGATTTCCTTGATCCTATTTGAATACGTTGCTCGAATCTTTTTTCACGAGTCATTTGTGACGTGACGTGATATTGAAATATTGAATCTCAACTGTGCTCCTAATATCCAAAGGAAAAGGACAAACACGATAGGTAAGTCGACCACATGATGAATAAACCGAGTGTCAACGAGTCTATTAGAGAAGTCAAAACTTATAAAATATTGGGAGTATCAAAATTATATTAAATGTAGGTAAATGGTATCTGCAGATGAAAGTTTTCGCAGGTTTTCCATTTTCCGGTTCCACCAGAAATGGCTCCGATTTTGAATTCATAAATAGAACACCCTGTATATTATAACAGTTTTGGAATTCTGAGACAATTCTGGATCTTAAGTCACTTTTAATGTTGCATAACATAAGGTTTACGTCACTGTCATCACCTACGTTAGTGTTTTGTTTCCCACAGAAGACTTGATAAAAATAACTTCAAAATATCATGCATCATAGCACACTTGACAAAAGTAAATAATTATTTGGTCCCCCGCTTAAGCAGGCGGAAGGAATTTTACTAATAGTTGATGAAAGTCGAATGCCCGAAATCGTCTTTCGTCAACGCACTACCAGACATATTCTGCTCGGTCTCGAATAAGGTTAACGGCCCTGATGGAATTCCACCCATTATTCTTAAAATTCTCTGCAAGATATTTACCATCTCATACAAGTCGGATATTTTTCCATCTTGCTGGAATATAGTTAGCTAGAGTAAAACCAATCCCCAAAAAAAGGAAACAAAACAACAAGCTCTGGAATTCTTTGCCAATGGAAATAATATTCCCAAAAGCTTATAACCTCCAAAAGATAAAAAAACAACACGCATCAAGGAGTAGGAGTAGGAATTAATTTTCTAGCGCTTCAAAAGAAAAAAAAAACAGTATTGCCCTTGGTAATACTCAATTTATGTTTTTGATGCAATAGTGAATAAATTAGTATCGTTAGATACGTCAGGAAATCCTTTTTTCGAAAAACGCTTGTCGAAAAATGGTCGCCACTTGAAAATCATTAGAAAGACACTAAAATGCAATTTTGCTAACAAGTCTTTCCCCTATTTATAACACTAGTTACTAAAACTTGGCAATTTTAATTTTCGAACATCACCTGAGATCCTTAGATGTGTTTATGTCCTATCATGGCCACCTGATGCAATTTTAAAAGTGACTTAAAAAATTGAGTAGGTTCAAAAACTTTCAAAGATTTCACAGTCTGACCCAGAATTGTCTCAGAAATCCAGAAATTCACGGTGTTCCATTTGAAAATTAAAAACCAGCCATTTCCGGTGAAGTGACCGGAAACTGGAAAATATGTGAAAGCTCTTCCCTTTACATACCACCCACCTATACCAAATCTCATTCTGATACATTTGATATTCCAGGAGTCATAACTTGTCTAATATATTAACACCAAGTATATGTATATTCGTCAGCAGTATAATGAAAGTTTTGGACATGGATCTTGCCTGACAAAAAACCTGAAAGTAGAAGGCATATTCCATTTTTTGATAATCCTACACAAACACATAAATAACAATCGCAGTATGTAAGCTCGCAATTATTAACTTTGAAGGAAACATATCAAGAAATCTTTTATTTTTCCATCATTTCAATAAAATTTCTTACCCGTCATTAATTAGTTCAACATCGACGACATTAGTTAGTGTATTAGAGCCCTGAATTTGTCCTCTCTCGAGAGATGTCTGGAACTCTTGGAAGGCAGTGGTAATAGTGACATCGGCAATATGTAAGGCACCACAAATAACACCCAACATGATATCTGGTTTTTCTGATTGCATTCGTTCCGAGATGAGAATGTCTAACCATTGAGTGTCAATAGTGTTTTCCTAGAACAAAATAAAATTTGAGCATCCGGAGTTTTTCGGACACCATCTGAAGGCTTTCAGCCGTTTGATGAGTATGACTGAATAGTCTCAAGAATTTGTACACATATTTTGGTGAGTACATCATATGAAAAGTTATTTGATTTGGAATATCTACCAAACCGGATATACAGTAGACACTTGATAGTGTAAACAACGCGTAACGAAATGTTAATTATACTAGACCACCGTATTGTCCATTCTAGAACACGTGATTTTAACACGGTTTCTTGGAAGGCACACAAACTATCCTGTTAAGTTACCTTTAATGCTCGTAGCTCTGCCCACATCCAGAATACAATAACAGATTCGCCAAACAAAATTCTGGTTTCATATGACAAAATACAATGTTTACCCTCCAACGATCTGTCAAATGACGTAAATTCCGGAATGATCAATACCGTGAACAAACTGAACCTTCGCTAGTGCAAACAAATAAATAGGGTGGTTTTGGCAAATCGGATATTTTGAAGTAGAATGAGTGTGATACTGAACTTAAGCTGATGATACTAAAGACTGTCAAAGCGATGGGATTGTCGAGAAATCCGAAGAAATGAGCCTCTCCAGTCATTTCTAGAGAAAATATAACTCGAATATATGGCTCTGGAATACTTTGAAATAATTTTTTGAGATTTTTGTCCCATCAATCCATCGTTTTTAAAAGTTATTGAAAACGCCACGTGCGAATTCAAACGATCAGATATGGCCGCGACACGTGTGACCTTAATGCACGAACAATTTGGATTGGCAATGCCTTCATCTTCTCGCAGGTACAATAAAAATGCACAACGGACTTGACTTGAAATTAAGTGTTGAGAAATTCAAAAAAGAACTGAAAAAATACTTATGTCTTTGATTCTCTTCATGTCATCCTGAATCAATTCAAGAAATTATATTCAACAGTCTCTAGAAGAAACAACATTATATGTATTCTGTATATGATTTAAAAATGATTATCTGATTATCTAATTTTTGTTTTTTCAGTTGCTCTTTCATAATTTTCCCTGCTATAAACATATATGTTTCTTGGGAATAATAATAATAAAGAATTTATTAATATAATTCATCAACTCTATCGGTTCCACTAGATAGTTATAAAGTCTTTAAATGTGGTAAACCAGTGGCCTGAGGAAAGTGACATTGACATTAATGTTCTTGTTGTTATAAAAAGGCTGAGAGACAAAGCCATTATGCAGAAAATTGATAATCCCCGTTAACAAACAAAAATGTATGACTTGTTTTAACAAAAAATAATTCTTCATAACTTTTTCTAAAGATTTGTTACTATTTGTTTTAATGAGCATTAGGCTGTGTCAAGTCTCTGGTTTGACCGGGCACATACGTTCAGTATGAAATCTGACCATCAGCCTGACCAACCAGCTGTTTAGGAATATTGGCCACGTTTCAAACCTGCCCACGAAGTTACCCGTTACCACCGATACAACAAGGCCAGCAGACTCTGGCGTAAACAGCTCGTGACGTCACCAAGAGAGGCCAGTGTTTTATTTTATCGCTTGTCGACTAACGCGTCAGTTCGTGTTAATTCATCGGTGATTCACGTATGTTTTTGAGACGGTCCCGAATTCTTTAGTTGTTTATTCATCAAAATAATTGGCGGAAAAATTACTGTTTTGTGAAATATTTTCTGTTGTGATCGGCGAAATAACAATGCCTTTCAAGTGTTGTGTTCCCTTTTGTCGGGGGAATTATGTGGGTGGTTCAAAAGTTCATGCTTTTAGTTTCCCGTTGGACGAGGAGCTATCGAAAATGTGGGTATATGCAATTCACCGCGAGGATTTTACTCCATCTAAGTTCAGTAGTAAACAGAGCTTAATTTATAATGATGAATTAATAATAGAAGACAATTACTCTCTCATAAAAAGTATAAGTAGAGAAAAAATAGAAAAGCTTTAATTGTGCAGTTAGTTTTGTATTCGTATATCATAGTCAACAAAATCATCTCTGAATTCGAGGAAATTTTCTTGAATGTTCATAATAAACGGGCATTTTTAATTCTCATTTTCAAATTTCTTTCTGAAAACGGTCATTTGCCTCGTGGCAATGAATGCAGAATTCATTCCAGTGATCAAATTGCAACTATCATATTAAAATGAACTACAAACACTCTACTTAGAAAGGTAAAACTGCATTTATCATGATATTTATCATGAAGATATTTGACTAAAAAGTTCCAAATTTCACCTTCTTTTTCACCTGTCTTCTGGATGGCATTTAGAACAAATTTCCCTTCTTTTTTCAACATATTGGACAATTTATATATAATTCAACTATAAATATGAATTTCTAGAGATTAATCCATATTTAGTGAAAAGAAGGAAGAATATGATTCAAAATAATGGCGTGTGTAATGTCATTCGAAAGCAATCTATTGACATTTGACATCTCGTATTTTGATTGACTATTGATTAAATGGTCGTCATCTGGAATGCTTGTTCACTAAATATGAAAAACTCGCCATAAAAATCATATTTCCTGTTGAATTTTCTATATAAAAATGTGCCATCGAAGTACATCATGAGTATATAAAGTTTCCAATGACAAAATAAGAGCAAGTAGCTTCAAATGCCCCCAACACAAGGGGAGAAAGAAGGCGAAATTTCGAACTTTTTCTTGAAACATCTCAATAAATAGTGGTTTGTTCACATTTTCATTATAAAATTCGGTTTATCAGACAAAAATACGTGAGTACCGAAAAAAATTTTCAAAAAAAAACCATCGCATGATAAATGCAGTTTTACCCTTAAAAATTACGGTTTCAAGTGTAACGATCCACTTGGGTGAAAAATCCAACAACAGAAAATTGAAAACACTCACTGGTTATATTTTCAGGTGATAGGAATTCTCCAAGATGAATATAGGTAATTGTAACAAACGGCATGTCAATCAAAATAAAATACATTTTCCACAATTTTCTTTGATCAATCTCACGATAAGTTTATGTTCTGCGGGCCCTGTATAAGTCGGTGTGAAGTTTACCTTCACCACAATTTTTGCCAATATATTCAATTCGAATGGGTTGCAGTAGGTGAATATTTGTGTTTTATCCTGGTTTTTGCTTTAAAACTTCGTTTTTCCATAATAAAATCGAATGGGGTGCGAAGAAGGGCTCAGTTGACGACAGGCATCCTTTTTTAACCGGAAGCCCTTCAAAAAACAGCAAAATCGGCTCAATGATGATCTTAAACTAAAATCGAAATACGCGGTCGCCTTATAGCGCTATAAGCGCTTGTCGTTTCGAGCCGCTGGTTAGGCCTCACTAAGTGACGTCACCCACGGAGCATGCAGGCCTTGTTGTATCGGTGGTAACGAGTTACCACGTCAACTTCTAATAGGAGTGAAGACAGCCATTGACCATTCTGGTATCACCACTGTGGTCAGACGAGCGACTTGACACAGCCTCACTATTTTATATGTATAATATTGGTAATGAAATGTTCTTACATATCAAATATACGGATGTTGTTTTTCGGTTCACACTATCGAGTGTCTCAATAAAATTTGCGAATTGGAACTGACGTGGAAAAGATCGTACCTGAAAACTCTTCGTTTCCAATAAAGTGATCAAATATTCAACGGTTGTCCTAAAGTCCCCTCTGATCGACAGTTCCTTCAGAGCGATCACCAAATTTTCTCTGGCTTGCGCTCGATTTTCGCCCCACGAAAAACAATGTCCGAACTGAGAGTCTGCGAACTCGTGCAGGCCTCCGGAGGCTGCGACCGAAAAGTAACCCCATACGTTCTTCGAAGATCTGAAGTTCAGCTCTTGAACCGTACCAGAACTTGGTTTGAAACCTGCAAAAAATGTTTTCTTTGTTGAGCAATCTTTCAATAGTACTATCAATAATACTAAGACAATAGGGTTAAACATAAACAACTGAACTTATTCATTTTACTTGATTTTTTGGGATTTCCTCTCCTCGTTCTATAAAAGGAAAATATTCTCATTATTTCAATATATTTGTAGTGGGACAAATCAGATGATTTGCCCCAAAATGTCACTGCGTTTAACACATTTTTCTATCAGGGAGTCTAAAAGAAAAATCCAGTAGCTTGTCAGTGACACTTTGTTTGAAAAAATGTTTGAAGGAAAGAAATATAGATATATTGAAAAAATATCGAAATTTTAATCATCTTTGGACGTTTCGGGAACGAATCTGCTCCCGTTCTCAACATGAAAATGCGAAATATTTTTCTTTGGAAGTTGTGCTCTGCTTATAGCTTGACACTTCTCAGTGTCATACTGATGTTGGCATATGAAGTGTCAAACTATAAGCAGAGCACAACCTCACTCTTCTGTAAAACATTTTTATTTGTTTACAGAGGAATCAAAGGATTGAAATAGTTTTTCACAATTATTTTGGCATATGAATCGTATTTTTCGGCTATTCATTAATTCGCTCATGCCATCACATTGTGCTGTTGTACAATGCACAAAAACTGCAGTGGAAGACGAAGGAATCCGGTTGATACATTATGATTTTAAAGTAAGTACCTACTATAGTCACTCACATATAGTTTTCATTTTTGAAATCTGGTTATTTCTCTGATTTCTCATCGGAATTCCTTCTGCAATAGGAGCTAATAGAAATACTCGTGAAATTTCTAAAATAATGCAAGAAGATTAGATACATGCAATCAAACGGGAGGACTGGTCTCTCATGCTGACGAAATATGATCGTGTGTGTTGTAGACATTTTCAATCTACTAGTAGTATTCGCTTGTATTCCAGAAGTGGCAGAAGGAATTTCAATAAGGAATGACAACATTTCATAATGATAACTATGTGAGATTACTATTTACTTGAAAAATCATATTCCTTCGTCTCTCGCTGCATTTTTTATGCATTGTACAACAGCACAATATGAAGGCATGCTTGAATTAATGAATAGCGCAAAAAACACGATTCGTATGCCAAAATATTGTGAAAAGCTATTTCAATCATTTGATTCCTCTGTAAACAAATAAAAGAGTGAGGTTGTGTTTTAATAATTCACAGAAGAGTGAGGCTGTGTTCCAATATTTGACCACCAGGATCGGTCATCGTGCACGCGACCTATTCTATCATATTGATGTGTTCAATATATGTACTCATTTAAAAGTCATCTTGTATACAAAATGAAAATATTACCTTCGTCTGGATTTTCTGATGTTATTCGAGCTGCTATCACGTGACCCCAAGGTTGCGGTTTATGTCGAGGTTGATCGAAGTCTATTTCAGATGTGCCCCAAGGAGACTCCCCATACAACAATCTGATATCTTTAATGTAGTGAAGTGGAAGACCCATGGCAATCTGAGGATAACAAAAGCCCATACTGTTTATTGAATAGTTCATCGACTGAATTTATTCTTATTCATTATTATAATTACCAATATATTATTATTGATCTTCAGTTAATCACATGCACTTATAAATTGCATGATATTTCGGCAAGCTTTTTTCAAATTGATTTTACAAAATAAGTAATCAAGTCACTTATAGGTACCAATGATATGTTTGAACCAAAAAAGGACAATACTCCACTGATTCAGATCAAATTAAATTTTTTATATATCTTATCATGTCTCAGAACTAACGAAGAAACTTAAGGTTACTGATGAGGATTTGATATTCGAAATGCATTTATTCTAGTGAAGTCATAAAACCTGTTTGTGAGAGATATATACAAACGATTTTTTTGGAAGTTCCAAGCTCATCAAGATCAGAGTTTATACATATAATAAATAACTATTATTCCGAGTATAAATAGTATTTGATGCAATAATTCGTTATTTAAAATCATCAAAAATACTAGTTCAAATGATAATTTAGTGAACCAATAATTATAATATATTTCAATAATCACCTGAAGTTGGGCGGCAGGCAGGTTGACATCGGAAACCATCTCCGTACAGGGGTGTTCGACTTGAAGGCGAGGGTTCAGTTCCAGGAAGTAGTACTGACCAGACGGATCGTATAAGTACTCCACAGTTCCTGCTGAAACATATCCCACCATTTTTGCCAGTCGCACAGCAGCCTGAAAAGGCACGAATTTACCTATGAAATGACTTACAGCAAATATTGGCATAGTGGGAGATACGCTGCCAAATCGTCACTATAGGCGAGTGTTTTCATTTTACTAAAAAGCAATTTTCTGATCAAATGAAGAAGTTGGAAGACATGCTGATTCAAAGATATTATTTGGATACTAATGTTTCTTCAAAGCATTGTGGTTGGCTGGTCATTATTTGTACCCCAGTAACACATTCACGACATAATTGAAGCCTTACTCTATATATCTCTCTCCCTCTGTTACATATACTAATTTTACTATCGCTTCACTAAATTTATTTCCTCGTTTACCACTAGATGGCAGTGGCATCTCTGTCAATTTTTCAATAAAAATGGATTATTCCGAAGGGAAAAAATACGAGATAATTTAATCTATCAATTTTATCATTCTTTAATGAAAATAAATGCATGAATTTTGTCCATTACCGACCATTTCATTACTACACACATTAATCACAACACAAATTTTCAGTAAAGTCGAGATAAATTCGAACTTACTCTTTCCATATCTTCAAAAACGGATGGTTCTGCTATAACTGCGGGTGCTTCTTCGATGATTTTTTGATGTCTTCTTTGAATAGAACAGTCACGACCAAACAATGAAATGGCGTTTCCATACATATCTCCTAGGAGTTGAACTTCTAGATGTCTAGCGCACTTTGCAAGTTTCATAACGAAAATTGGGGAACCAGGAATTTCTTGTTGCACCTGAAAAACAAGAGATACAAAATACAAAAACAAAAAACTTAGTTTTCTGTTTCTCATATGTGACTGAATAATTCACAATTATTAGAGTCACATATTTTTCGACTTTGTTTTTTTCTGTGATATCACTTAGTAGTTAGAATATGTACTTCGTTGGCATGTATGTACAAACCAACAAAGTGTAGGCGTTGATACTAACTCCATACGCCACCATATGAGCTACATTGTAAATTGGAACGCAACAGCGAATCGTGCGGAATCATCTTCATCCGAGGCTACGAAAATTATAATTTATAACTCGTATTATAGTAAAAATTCTCTGCTATGCCAGGGATCGAACCTAGTAACCTTTCAGTGTTCTGATTGTTACTCGAACGCTCAACCACTGCGCTATTTCGCTGTTGTGATATCACAATACTAGAGTGACTGGATGGTATTAGTTAGATATGAGTTCGGACACAGCTGAACTTCCTTTTCTATATTCTATATTACTATGGTTCGAGTGAATAAAAGAATAAGACATATATTCTGCTCTTTTTCTTTTCAATTTATCTAAAAACGACTAATTTTTAGATACGATTCAACAGGTTAGATTTTGTGTCAAATCAATCATAGCCGTAGATGGAAAACAGAAATTAGGTTTAAACACCCACTTCAATTTCGCACTTCGCCGAACAACAGTTCTAAAAATTGAAAGAATGCATTTAATAACATTTTAATATGGCAAAATAGACACATATATGGATTTATTATTAGCTAGTTCGGTATTGAAAACGTCATTCAATGATATAGGTACCACGTTGCAATTTACTTGATTTCCTCAGTTTTGTTCTCACATTTTCAATTTCTTTCAGTACTTTTGCAATCAAATCCTCTTTCTCCATGATAATTTTATTTTGCATTTCGTGTAATAATAATATATTTTCTTTAATACCTAGTGTGTTCTGTAAATGGATGGAACAGCAGATCCTCTCAAAAGTCTCAAACGGTGTTTGAAATATGATCTGTTCGAAAATGGGCCTAAAATATATAGTTTAATTCTCGGTTTCATTCTAATCTGCTGCTATAAGAAGTGAATTTTAATGTATGTACCTCACAAATTTTGCTTGTCTTCGAATCAGTTTTCCATCCACGGTTTCATACATTGCTTCCATAAGAGAATGGTTGATATTTCTCTCGATGTTTGGAAAATGGAAAAATGGAATTCATTCTCTTCAGAAATTCAGAATTCCCGCAAATTATCACACAGCAGGAGGACATTTTTATCTATGCTTTCTTCTTCATTAAATAGTCCAATAGTTTATGAAATTCTGACATTCATAAAATGTAGTCAAATTACAAAAAAATTGAATAAAAAAGCGCAGGACGACCATGGTGTTCTTGTCACAATGCAAGGTGTGTAACTTAATGAATCTAAACAATCAAAAACACTAACAGTAGTCATTTCTGTGTCCGAAATCTTGTCAAACTAATAGCATCCAGTGACTCTACACAATACTAGTATTTCAGTCAAAGAACGGGGTTACAGAGGACATGAAAGAGGACAACATTATTGACTTCAAGGATTTGCTTGTAGTAGTTACTGTACGTCACAGCAAAAAATGTCATTCAATTCTAAATTGTAGCTGATAAAATTGTCTAAAAAATTGTGTGTGTAGAGTTTTACCGCATATTTTATAGTTTTCGAATAATTTCAGCAATGCAGTATTTCCGCTTTTATCAAAAAGTAGCAACAACTTTTTTATTCCAAATAGAATACCCTGTATTTCAGTGCATTTTTACATTCTCCCTGAAGAGCTGATTTCATCGATAGATCCAAACTTGGGGCGGTTCAAGATTCAGAATTCTGATCACCCTTTATCTGTTCCGAATGAATATCAGTAAATAGTAAATCAGAAGTTGAGATAGGGATACGTGAGCCGTTTTGGCCGATAATGAATAGTTTCGACACAAACAAATCCTAAAGTTGAAAAATCACGATTTTGAACACTATCTCTGTAATAATTTTCAATAGATCCCAAGTGTGATATATCAATAAAATCAGGTCTGCAGGGAGGATCTAAGAATACGATAAAACACAGGGTGTTTTAATTGAAATATCAATTTTGCTTGTAGAAGCGGCAACACTGCATTGTCGAAAATATTTGTAATGAAGAGACCGCCTGATTCTCGATATAAAGATAGTGTAAGCTCGTTGTGACATACCCTGTATATGATAATAATTAGGGTACGATCCTGCAATTTTTATCGAAGTATTCCTACAATTTATTGATATCATAGAAAAACTATTTAAAAATAATATTTGCGAGTTATAGAATTCATGTACCCACATCATTTATACGATCTATTTCTTTGCAATTTATGATACAATGGCATCACATTGTTCGAATCTTAGTTTCACATAGTTACGCATCATAAATACTATACCTGATTTGGTATTGTAATTTTGCTTAAAAAATTCATGGAGCTTCAATTCACGTGCGGGTAGGTCAAGTTTAATTATTTCACCTTATTCTAATTATTGTGTTCAGGGTATCCTAGAAATATTTGTCCATGATTGAGACAATCGATTTGTTTTTTTCTATCTAAGAAACCGTACAAAATTAGAACACCGTGGATGGTCCCAGCTTGTACCATACGAGCGCAGGTTATTTTCAAATGTCGCACTAAAAATTGCCGAAAACTAAACTGTTTATTATGATCACCTGGTATTTGGAAAAAAATTCGAAAATCAGCCCACCAGTGGTCTTCAACAATAATTGAACACCACGTGACCAAAATGCAAACAACACTGCACAGCTGGTAAATAAATAACTGGAAATTAACAGCTGCTATCGAAATAAAATGGGGATATTAGCATTTGGAAATGCATCATGAAATTGTTTCCGGCAGCTTTGAAGTGAATATGTCCACGTTCCATCAAGATCATGAGTACCACTTATGAAATGTGTCATCAGTTAGAACGCATCCATTTTACCAGAAAAAAAAACAACAACAATGAAATGAAATCAAGAATCATATGAACTATCAACAAACCCAGGAGAAAAGCAACAAAGTAAACATGATAACAAAAATGTATCGTTGGTTGCACACGAATATGGTCACGTGGTGAGAAAGAAAAAGGATTTTCTCCATCCATATTTTAAATTCATAATTGGTGTTGTAATGAACATTCCATCGCCAGTTATGAAAATAATAACGTACAAAAAAAAGAAAAAGGATTTTCTCCATCCATATTTTTATTTCATAATTGATGTTGTAATGAACATTTCAGATCCTTTTATAGTTAAAGTCGACTTTACTTTGATTTATTTTCACCTGACATTACGATTGACATTTCCAAAGTATTCGCTCGAAATGAATCGTTTAATGGAAAGTTCTAGTAGCTCATCGTCAGAGAGTGACGAAGATGATATAATGATTCTCAGGAGGGAGAAAATCTACAGACAGAGGCAAAAGTGCCTCCAAACATTTGATGATATTGAATTCTTCCAGAGATTTCGATTGACAAAGCCTACAGTGTTAGCACTACTACAGAAGATTGCACCTCTGATATCTCTTCCAACTAATAGGTATGCAATCATGCAGATACATTTATTGTCCTCTTAACGTTCATATATTGATGAGAAATAATATTCCAGAGGTGGTTGCATCAAACCAATAGATCAATTATTGCTTGCATTACGATTCTATGCAGTGGGAAATTTCTTGATAACTGCTGGTGATTTCATGGGTATTTCAAAAACTGCAACCTGTCGAATTGTGAGGAGAGTTTCTTCGGCAATTGCTTCGCTGCGTCCACAGTACTTGAAAATGTATGCAAATAATGAAGATATGCAGGGGGCTGCAGAAGAATTCTACCAGATCGCTAGTTTTTCCCGGCTCATGCCATGATCAGACCATTTTCAATAATAGCAGGTTGAAACAACAATTTGAAGATGGAAGATATATTCTATTGGGAGATAGTGGCTACCAGCTCGAACCATATCTTATGACAAAACTGATTCGAGTGGAAAATGAAAGCGAAAATCTTTATAATGAATCAATTATTAGAACAAGAAATACCGTCGAAAGACAATATGGAGTTTGGAAACGACGTTTTCCTGTATTGCATTTAGGAATGAGGGTCAAGTTGGATACTGTGATGTCCATAATCATAGCTACTGCAGTATTGCATAATATGGCACTAGATATGAATACAAACTTTCCTCAAGAATGGTTGGATAATTTGGATGAAATTCAGATAGAAAATAATGTGAACAATGTAGCTGATATTCCTCATAGAATGGCAGCATTGAATGTTCAGCAATTAATTATTAGAGAAAATTTCGCCAATTTATAAAAAACTCATTTTTCCAACATATATTATATTAAACGTTTTTTTCATTTAATGCATATTTTTCTTTCACTTGTATCAGCTCTTCTTTTTTGATTTCAATTTCTAATTTCAACAATTCCATTTTTCCTTTGTGATTATCTTCTTCTCTTCTATCTGCATTTTTTCTGAACTGGCTTTCTTCCACCATCAGTTCAATTTTTTTCTTGTGGTACTCCTCTTTAGCAACTGCGAGAGAACTAGCTGTTGTAGGTCGTAGTTTTCGATTAACAGGCTCTTTCAACTTTCTAGGTGTGTAGCTATCCCACTATTATAATCAATATATTACTGTTCCTGATATCTTTTGATAATTATCATTAATATACGTACAGGGTGGGCAAAATTGGGCGTTTTCACCATCTATCTCAATAACTAGAGGAGTTATCGAAAAACCGATATGCATGTTCCGGGTTCGATTTTGGAGAAACCTCGAATGGCACAATCAAAATTTCGATATCTTCATTCGTTTTAGAGATACAGGGGGAAATTGAAAATTTGCCGATTTCGATTTTATTTTCTGACTACTTTACGGTGGGAGGTATCAAAAAATTTCGAACGAATATTTATACAGTATGATGCGTGGAATCCATTGGCATCATCAGAAATTTTATACAGGGTGACGTTGAAAAGATACGGCAGCCAATCATGTTTTTTTTAATGGAACACCCCGTATATTTTGGCACAGTTGAATAGTCCCAGGCGTTCTCATTACAAATATATATATATAACCCTACCTTTTCCTTCCACAATTTCAGATATATTCGCAAAAATATATTCAGTGTGTCACATTTTTATGGTTACACCCCCGTATCTTCTGTAAAAATAATTGAGGTAGGATTCAAAAATTCGCAACTGTCAGAAAGATACAAATGATACACTCATGGAGTCATGGACCAAGTGGGATCATCTCCAATGATAACACTGCTCGCCAGCAGCTATGGAATCATCGATATTTCTGGATAATGCTATCAACAGGCAGAATCGAGGTTGAAAATGACACTCTGTATATATTCACCAAATGTGGAAAATAAATATCATAGGGAATGTAATCTCCAGATAAATGGATATTTGGTGAGAAATAAAATGGGAAATTATTCGATTTGATATCATTGTTATCAAGACATTTGATGAGATACAGAAATAAGACCAATAATTTACTCAATTAGGAAACCAGTAGGTTGCGTTGAACAATATAGCCTTATAGAAGATGTCCAAATTCTAGATACAGAACAATTTTTTTTATGGAACACCCCGTATATTTTGGCAGAGCTGGAAAGTTCCCGTTTCAATTTCAAATATATATCTTATTTATTATCTCTTTGAACGCAAAAATATTAAGGCATACTAGAAATAATGGGTAAAGTATCATATTCAGGCATTCTGCCACAAAATATTATGATTGTTAATGTTTCCATCAATTATTCTTACAGAAGATACGGGGGTGTAACCATAAGAAACATGACACACTGAATATATTTTTGCGAATATATCTGAAATTGTGGAAGGAAAAGGTAGGGTTATATATATATTTGTAATGAGAACGCCTGGGACTATTCAACTGTGCCAAAATATACGGGGTGTTCCATTAGAAAAAACTTAATTGGCTGCCGTATTTTCTCAACGTCACCCTGTATAAAATTTCTGATGATGCCAATGGATTCCACGCATCATACTGTATAAATATACGTTCGAAATTTTTTGATACCTCTCACCGTAAAGTAGTCAGAAAATAAAATCGAAATCGGCAAATTTTCAATTTCCCCCTGTATCTCTAAAACGAATAAAGATATCGAAATTTTGATTGTACCATTCGAGGTTTCTCCAAAATCGAACCCGGAACATGTATATCGGTTTTTTGATAACTCCTCTAGTTATTGAGATAGACGGTGAAAACGCCCAATTTTGCCCACCCTGTACTTTCAGATCATTGTTCATTGGTGCCTGTAATTCTGAAGATTTTTTTTACCCTTTTCTGGCAAGAGTATTTTTTCATGTTCATCATCCTGGAATATAATGTTCAATATAGCTTACAACATATAAATCAGCTTTTTTGAGAAATTCACCTTCAAATATGGGACATAATTCCTTGTTTCTTCTATGTCAGACCTCAGAATGTTGTCGCTTATTCCAGCCAAGTCTTCTTCAGGCATTTGCCATACTACCTATCAATAGAAGAAACTTGCTACATCAGGTTTCTCTATATAAATATACTATTTTTTAAATACATACTTCCGCTTGCTCTATCAAATTACAAGTTGTTTCTGCTTCCTTTTCAGATTCGTTGCTTTCCTTGAATACAAATTCAAAAGCGAATCATATAATGCATTAATATCAGAGTTTGTAATATTACCATATTGTACGCATCACTATCTGATGTATTTGTCAATCCCACAACAGTTTTCTCATTAATAATTTTCAGAACTAAAGAAATGATGATATCAAGATTTTTCATGATTGCACCACCACCTCCTGTTCTTCTGAAATGGGCCCGTTCATGGGCAACTACTTTCCGGGTTTTTGTTTTTAAGTTATCAAATTTTGATTTCAGTTGGTCTATATTGCGGAATTCCGTTGATGCCGCATTGTAGACTATCAATATACGACTCCAAGCCTTATCCTGTAATATATCAATATACATTTTCAATCTCACTTCCACAATCGGTAAGTTCAATCATAGATTAAATCCAAAATTCATTTTTAATTCTAGAAATTGAACTCACCAGATCTCTAACCCATTATCATTGTGTTAACTTACTTTTTCCTGAATGCAATATTTATTGGTTTCTTTATTCTCAATAATATCACGCTCAGCATAAATTGCATTCAGCAAGCGAATTTCATCTTCTTTAGTGAATGGCGTGCTTTTTTTCCTTTTTGGTTTCGATTGCGTTTCTGTGCTCATTATTGTAATGCAATTTATAATTGAAACTCAATGTGACAAATTCAATTGACAACGTCAGATGTGTGAAAATAGTTCATTCAAACCAAATTTAGTGCCGGAGATATGACGAAAAATACATATACGAATCTTTAGGTAAAGGAAGTTGGCTTTCACTTTATGGAACGCATCAGACTTTTTGACTTTTTGACTTTTTTGTAAAGTTACCTTTTGACGACATTTATGGAACCGGCCGTGACGTTTCAAAACTTCCGTCAGTTTTGAAAAGTATCAAATTACATGTCAAAATAAAAGAAACAATATTCTCATACTTACTTGTCTGAAGGCAGCCGGAAAATCATCCGGACTATCCACTTTCCTGATACCTTTACCACCGCCCCCTTCTGACGCCTTCACCATAACGGGATATCCTATTTTGTGAGCTGCAGCTAGACCTTCTTCAGCAGTGGACACACAACCACGTGCGAACAGTTCCGATGATATTTTGATCTTTTTCCCACTGTACTGGGCAGTTAAACCTGAATAAAACGCTCAATATTAGATGCTGTTTGGAAAATCACACCTCAAATTCAGGGAAAGTTCAATGGATGTGGATAGAGCATCCCGCACTATACTTTGGGCAAATGGCTTCTGGGAATCCATAACTAGAAGAGATCTATCGAATGTGTTCACCTAAGAGAAAAAACAATTCGCATATTAACAGAAACCCTGTCAGGACTACAGAGAGTCATCTGGAAGATGTTCGGAAGAGTACAGACCACAGAAGTCTAAGTGCGGATTCTATAAGGAGAAAGGTGAAACCTTTATCCACATCCTCATAAATTGCACAGCACTGCGCAATGCAAGAGCACTCTGCCTAGACACATATTGAACACAAGAGAGATATTTACCTAATCTGAATCAGTCGCACATATTGAACTTTCTGAGGAGAATAGGACTAGAAAACTAACAATGAGTCGAGAAGAGGGAATCACAGTCAAGGTCACTGTGTATATCACCCTTACCTCTACATACATACATATAAATACAATATTTGAATTCAGAAAACGCCTCAAAGAAAATGTATAAATATACAGGGTGTTAACAAATAAGTGTCACAACGGAAAACTGTAGATTTCTCATGAAAAAAAGAAACATTTTTTCCCTTTCGAAATTTTTCTCCGGGCTTCCGTTTTCAAGATATAGGGCGTCAAAAAAATACAAAAAAATCTGTTTTTTGCTACTATCTTAGGAACCGTTTGAGCTACGGAGTTAAGCCTTCGTACACACTTCATCATCAATAATGACTACTTTTACCATGCTCTTGATCAATTTCCTTGGATATGTCAGTGGAGGAGAATTCAACGCCTCGTAAGAGTTTAACCCCCCAAACATTTATGCCACTGGAGAAATTGTAATTTTCAAAGTAGATTCTGAAGCGCCAATATCTTTCACACAAAAACGTCTTCTTGTCTCAATGCTGTGAAGTGAACAGTTTCTGTGAAAAATGGCTCTTTATGAATAAGAACATACAAAATCCTGATGGTATCTTCAAAAATCGTCTAAAAACCCATTGGAAATAAACACCTCAGAACTGTCTAATAATATGTTCAATGAATTGTCAGGTTCTTGAGTATGCTGGTCTCGATGCTGGTTTTCGAATTGTCAAGTTTATTAAGTGTTGTAAAGTGTGTTTAATTAAAACGAAAGCCCGGAGAAAAATTTTGAAGAGGGAACAAGTTTTTTTTATTATGAGGAATCTACAGTTTCCCAATGTGACACTTATTTGATAACAACCTGTATAAAGTATTTCGCCTGAAAAAATAATCTAATGTTACGTGACCTATGGGGGCCATTGTACCTACTATTCCAACAAAATGTAATACTTTCAAAATATTTTCGATACAAGCGATATTTTCAGGCAAAAACTGAATGATTCCCCACCCTCTGAACTGACTGACTGAATCCCTACCAAATACTCGAAATCAGCCAAAATTCGAGAAGATCAAGGGTGGTCAGGTCTGCCCCAGGACTGAATACTTTGGACCGACCCAACAACGCCCAAGTATGTATGTCCAGCCCGAGAGGGCGTGAACACAGACAACAACAATCCCTGACGAGGCTAGCGCTATACTCAAGTCGACACTCACGTGCCACTTAGAATTCAGTCTTTCACTCTTCTATGATCCCACGAGACCCATGCCCTACCCACACCCACAATAAAAATAAATTAGAGAAATTAAGGCAGCAGCCACCTGACTTATCCAAACTCTCGCTCGTCTGAAGCAGCTCACTAACTTCACAAACGATGAGATTTCCACAAAATTTTGTGAAGTTTTTACATTTGCCATGGATTTCCATCAAGTAACGGCCGATTCAATTCAAAAAAGCTCACTAACAGCCGCTATGAAGAGTGCCATGTTCTAGGACATAGTTCGCTCAACTATTAAGGCAGCAGCAACCTGACTCATTTGAATTCTCGCTCGTCTAGAGCAGTTCACTAATATTCGCCATGAAAAGGACTGTGTCCTAGGACATAGCTCGCTCTCAAGACTGTCATATGGTAGACTTTTAAGACCCTCGTGCGATCTTCAGAGGTTTTCAATGGTATATGAAATTTCAAATGAAAAATATTCTAAGGTGGGGCAGTGTCGAACGTGATGAGTACTTGGATGGAAATATCAATGAGCACAAGTTAGTGAAGATATGCCGTCCCCCAGAGGGGACTTTTGGCCGGCGGTCCCGGAGCTATGGGCGTTGGACTCGTTCAAAATTCTTACTTCTGGTTAGAAAATCAGATGATTCGACAAAATTTTTGGTTGGAGGTTAGTGTGCTCACCGGCGTTAGTGATGTTATCTCAGGGAGGAAGTGATGATCACAGGATCAGACGTATTCAGGTGCAGCTTCAGCCCTTAGGAAAAGGACAACAACAGCGAAGAACCTGGGTAAATAACCGAAAAAGGTTAGGCCCATATCAAAGAAGAAAAGAAGGAAGGAACAAAGGAAAGAAGAAAGGAAGGCGTTAGTGATTAGCCTCGGCAGCAGAAAGAGACCGACGATGAAGAAACAAGAAGAATAGAGTTATGTTTTCAAGACCTTCAACAACACACGACTGAAGGTATCTATTCCTGAGGACATCGTAGCAAAGTCACAGGCAGAGGTTTCAGTAATTTGAGATATCTTCGACGTACCAACATCGATAGAGAATCAAATAATCGACATCAAGGAAAATGAGAGAAGTCGAAATTTCAACATAAAAATCACAGCTTCAGGACATGCTTATGATATAATTCTTAGGATCCTCTATATAGTATAGTGTTGTTCCATTATCAGTATGTTGTTGCCATTCGTGGTTGTCATGGACATGCATGTATTAATATTGTCATCTTTTCTAATGGTTATTCATTCTATTAATCATGAGTAGGATTACTAAAGTAATACATGGGAACCAGTCTAGTTGGACCTATTTTTTGACCAGTTGATTCAACCTAACCTATTCACGACCAAAGAAAGGCACCATGGAAGCAATTTTCAAGCCGCCAGAACCATTGCAGCTTGTTGACAACATCTCGGAAAATTGGCGAAAGTTCAGCCAGAAATTTGACTTGTTCATGACAGCCACAGAACTAGAAGCGAAACAAGAACCCAGGAAACTAGCCGTGTTTCTGAACTAAGTTGGAGAAGATGCTCTGGAGCTGTAATATATTTTATTCAAGTTTTAGGGAATGTCTTATATTTTCAGGTATTTTCTGTTTCTGATTTGGCCATCCCTTGAGAATATGGTTTGATACCATTCGCAATTGAGGATCAAGACTGCTTTCTAACGTGAATTATGGTTTTCTTTCTTGAAAATGGCAAGTGTTACCGAGTGAATGGACTGCATATTCAATCTCATTATCGTTTTCTCAAATAACCCCTAGAGTATAGAGTATATCAGAAATGTACATTTTCATACCTGGCTTATAGCAAAACAACAAGTCGTAACTTGATAATTTTAATCTCATTCATAAAATTCATAGGGACATATATTGAAGACTTTTTTTGAAAATGGACTCGAGTGGTATATAGTCTTTATGTACAGAAATATGGTACACGAAATGATGGGATTTCTTCACAGCAAACAAGATAGCTAGACCCTCTTTCCCAATCTGAGCATATTGTTGCTCTGTTTTTGTAAGACTACGAGACGCAAATGCCACTGGAATTCAGACAAGCTTCAAACCATCCTTGTACGCATGAGTAGCGAGGCATGTAAATTATAGGAGAATTTGCTAGTTAAATATAATACTTACCAGAACCAGACCACGGCAAAGTGGGTACTTCAGCTGTTTGAGCAACGAGTGACGAGGCAATTTTGTCTCCGAGTGCCCACATCGCCTTTTCGTTAGGTCCAATAAACGCTATATTGTTTTTGTGCAGCAGCTCCGGTAGTTTTGGATTTTCTGAAGCATGACCCCAACCTGCCCACACAGCCTGCAAAAAAAAATGCAATCAACATTTTGACAATTTTGGAGAATAAAATCATCTAAAAAGTAGCACTAAGGAACAGTGATGTAGGCAGAAACATATTTTCATCATGACTTATCAAGACTCAGGAGGCAAGGCCTGACTGCAAAAGGCAATTTATTTATCAAATTGGACTACGTCTGTTCGTTCAAAAGGCGAAGTAATGGAATGTGGCAATGGAATGTTGTCGCAAATTTTCAAAGAGAAATCTTCCAGAGTAACCACTAGAGCGGCGTTGATATTTCATGAATTATACGTATAATCTTTTTCTGGGTAGAGTCGATTTTGCCGCTTTAATACAACAAAGTACGGACTACGAGGAGCTCCGAATTTCCGACAAACGCGCGGCTGGGGCAGGCCTTTCGCCGACAAACGCGCCGCTTCGCCGGCCTAATTAAGTCAAAGGAAATAATAGGCACTCCGAGTTTTCATGGGCGTAGGGAAGATAACATAGCATGGAATCAACGTTAGTTGTGAAGATTGGTATTTTTAATGCCTTTTTCATTGACTTGTGATTCGTGACACATGTTAGTACGCTTTCCGACCTGCCTTGTGTTGAGCAAGATGGACACGTTTTTATAATATTTCGAGTTATCGCTGATGTGTGCCTGACAGTTCTCAAAGCTGGTTTCCGCCTTGATATTGTTGAGGCTTGGGGATAAAATGAAAACTATCACCATTTTCAATTTCATTAGGTAATATCTATAGCAACTTGTTATCATTCTCATGTGGGTATATTATCATTAATCCATGTGTTTCATGTACTCATTTACTTTACTTCCAAGTAATTATAGGACTATAATCATTAGATGTATGGCTGATGATAGTCATATATATTTCCGAAACATGTAGCCCTGTTGATTCATCTGCTACTCACATAGGAGGTAATTATTTAGTATAGTTTTGATTTCACTCCACTTTGATAAACCAGAGACTTCTACCAAAGATACTGAAATAAGCAAAAAAAATGAAAATAGTCGGTCACCCACACACCATAATTATCATCTTATTGAGAAAGTGCCATTACGTACCAAATAGTTAGTAAATTAAATAAGGCCCCAAAAGAACTGTTTCTTTTCCTTTGAAGTCTGATTTTGTTTTTCCAATATTTTGACTGCATTGGAAGGTACAATCATATAATGATGTTGTACACTCTAGTCGACTTTTCGTCACATACCTATTTATTTTATATCGATAGTTCCCTGTATTGATAGTATTTCATAAGGACTTTTATTATATTCACAATAATCACATATAGGTACTTGTTTTTCAAAACGACGAAAACCATTTGTATCAAATTCATCAGGCTTTATTTCCCTCATTTCAATAATTATGCTTTTACGGAGCCTAAATATTTCTATTAGTTTTATTTCCTCTCAATATTTTCTATACCGTTGTGTTACTCACGCCTGTCATATTGGAATATACAGAGAAGTGCACAAAAAACGGCCACTGCTGTATCTTCTGATTGATTCTAGATCGGATTTCTAGAATTGGTGGGCAGCAAGTATACCAAATTGCTCATCCACTGACAAAACAATATCTGCATGGTCCATTATTTTCTGTTCCACTAGAAACGACCGCAACTTTTGATTTCTAGATGGGACACCCTGCATTTTGTTCCATGAATTGTTAGGGCTTATCATAACGGATTCGAGGATACCGCGTTCGATGGGGTTATTTCAAACGATTACGAAGGCTCAATGAGTGTGACATAGAAATGAGTTTTGATGGTGCTAAGTCACACCAATTGACATATGGAAATTTCGAACGCAAATATCTTCGTTCAATCTTCGTGATCATCTGAAATAACCCGATCGAACCTGGTATCGTTGATTTCGTCATAATACTCCCTTACCGATTATGGAATACAATACAGGGTGCCCCATTTGAATATCGAAAGTTGGGGTCATTTCCGTTGAAATCGGAAGTGATAGAATAAAAATAGTTTTGTTATGAATGAGCAATTTGGTATACTTGCTATCCACATTTTCGAAATCTGATCTAGAATGATTAGGAAGATACAGCACTGGCCGTTTATTGTGCACTTCTCTGTATAATGTTAAAATTATTCACTAATACCTTCACGTTACATTATCTTTTCGCATACGAGTATATAGTTAGGACGATTGTTTTCTAACAATCAAGGCAGGACATCTCTGGTGTTTCAACAACACCGAAACAACCATGAATTGCTTTCATAGTTGACAGCAATCTTATTCCAAAGACACTTCGAATATGCAACTGAAAATGATATGATATGAGCGAGCTGAATTCATCGCTCTGAATTACAAATGTTTTCCGATTTATCGTTGGTCAAGCCCAAAAGCAGAAATCAATGGTACGCCCATGGTTGGTTTGGCACATTCCATTACTTCGCCTTCCAAACGAACAGACTATAGTCACTGGATGGTATTAGTTAAATAAGAGTTCGGACACAGCTGAACTTTTGTCCTTTTCTTTTTTCGATATTACAATGGTTTGAGGGAATAAAATAATAAGACACATATTCTGCTCTTTGTCTTTCCAATTTCCCTAATTCGCGGTCGCCAAGATCATTAGATGTCGTTCTGATGACATTGAAAACTACGGGAAAACGGGTCTAATTTTCAATCCATGTTTTTTTGTCAAATCAATCATAGCCGTAGAAATAGGGTATACACACTGACATCAATTTATACGGCACTTTTCGCATAACAACAGTTTCAAATATGAAAAGAATGCATGTAACAACATGGTACTGGATCAGTTATGGCTCAGAGATTTATTTCGATTAATCATTCATAATTTTCACTTTCTCAGTTGACAAACTATACCTACCAATGTAGGTGTGACTTTAAGAGATATCGCCAAGTTAACAACAATGTTCACGTTCATACTCAAAATGTCTTATTATGAAATATCGGGTGTCCCAGATCTTTTAGTACAACCAATATCTCAGTTATGCTGCTTGGAAAAAAAATTACACTCTTGTCAAATCCAAATGACTTTGAAGCCATTGTGTCAAAGTCAACTCCTGTCAAACTACCCCTGCAAAACCATACCCAACTTCATTTTTTCAAGTTACACCCTATACATTTTTTTGTTGATTAGTGAAGTGCAATTAATTCTAACTTCAACGATGTATCACACTTGATACTTTGGCATACCTACATAATACTTCAAAATTTGAAGAAAACAGTATCAGGTGTAGCTCATTTCTTTCCTAATGGTTTCTTTGACAGTTGTTCCTGTACGCGTCTTTTAGTCAGTTTGTAGGTACATCCAACTGACACAATACCTTTTACGTTTACTCCAAATAAGTATTATGTCAATTGAACGTAAGTCAAATTATCAAGTGTGATAGATCGGTGAAGTAAGAATTGATTGCACTTCACATATCAACAGAAAAATGTATAGGGTTTAATTTGAAAAAATGAAGTTGGGGACACCTAGTATATTTATTTATTTTTTAATAAACAGAAACCAAAAAGGATAGTGTTGACAGAAATACGAACAAAATTGAGGGTTAGGAAAACAGATGAATAACTTAGTTCAAAATGGAGGTCACTGGCTTAATGGAAATATCGTCGATAACGGCGATTTTGTTATAATGTACAGAAAATATTATAATGGTTCAATAATACCCGAATAGTGAAAACTGATTAGGTCTAGAGCTGATCCTGTCAGAAAGTTTATTCAGATACTCATCTTTAGAAATCGTTGTTGTCATTGTAAACATGAAAATCTTGGTAGGTATGGTTTTGATAAATGCAGTTGACCATTATCATAGCAGCGAAATAAGGACTAACAGCTATTTGACATGAAATTAGTTGACATTTTGATTTTTGAAAGTTTGCATGGTTTTTGGTCGCAATAGTATTATAGATAGATAGATAGATAGATAGATGTTTATTAACTATGTAATGTACAAAGATACATTTATAGCAGGTCATTTATACAAGTGATTGAACATTTTCAAATATTTGAACATTTTCCGAAAATTTACACACATACAAACGAGCAATGATAATAAAATACATATTTGACATGAAGAAACAAACAAACAATAATCATTTATGTGAATTTATAAGTTCCTTAGAAAATGTCAGGAGTAATGTGATGAGGTGTCTCTTTCTGAATTGAAATTATATGTAAACAACTTTTCCACTGTGTAGAAGCATTTTTTTAGAATCAGTTTTTTGATTTCCTTCTTGAAAATTGTAGAATTCATATTTCAATGTGACTAGACCAAGTTAGGTTCTCATCAAGAAAGACTCCCAAAAGATTCACTGTGTGTCCAGTCGTCCTCCTTGAGTCTGCTGTGAATTTTTTGAGATTTTTCTTTGTTCAGTGTCAGTTTGTTGGCAGTGAACCATTCTTCAGCTTCCTATTCAAGTAAACTTGAAGTGATTTCCAGCTCATTTGTACTTTTCTTCGTTGAGATTAAGGTTGTGTCATCTGCATATAAAGTACATTTACTTGGCATGAGATGTGCCAAGGTCGATTATATAAATCACAACTAAAAGTGGTCCCAAAACAGAGCCTTGGGGCACTCCATGTACGATCAGTTTTAAATTTGATGTCATGTTGTTAGCGGATACGCACTGCTTTCTGTTAGTCGAGTAGGAATTTATGAGATTAAGAGGGGTTTGTGTTTGGTGTATTGTGCTGATGTTTTGCTGTTTCATCACCGATCTTGAGGAGTTTGTTCGTATGTCCGCTGTTTTTCTTTCTTGACATACTGCATAATATAATGCAGTTATCAGCGATGACATATCGTACGTATGTTTTAAATTATTCAAGGCCGGCCGGCCGTACGATATATGCACTACGCATACTCCTCAACAAACTTTTCCAAACATATCACATGGTATGCGCGAGTTCAATTTTAACGAAAAACTAAAAACTAGCATTGTCTATCATTTGTTGTTTACAGGTCAGTGACAGTGAACCATAAGGAAGTTTATACTGACGATTTAATAAAACCTAAATTACAGAATTACAGTCCATTCTATTTCGACTAATCTTACCTGAACTTGACACCTGATGGCGATATCGACTATCAATTCCACATTGGCGTAATTATTGTTGTTCGTTCCGCCAGGCACGGGCACATAATGATCGGCCATCTTGATGTACTCGGCGTTGGCTTTGAGATCTTCGGGAGTGACCATAACCACAAACCTGACGGCCCGTTCGTTCTTGAACATCTCGTAAGACCATCTGCGCACAGATCGCATGCATTTGACAGCCGCTATGCCATTGTTCGCTATTAAAACCTACAATGATACATATTTCTCATTAAATTAGACACGATTTAATAAAGTGTAGTGCAGGACAAGAATGTTGTTCTAGAGATGTTGCCTTGAAACAAACAGCCTACCATCGCTGGCGTAAAATCCCTAACCTCGCGACTAGAACATAATAAATGTTGAAGCCAGGGATAACTGCAACCAAACAATAGATGCCAAAATTAGATCGAAACTCATAGATTGTCTCAATGGCTTCCATTCGTTTTGGTCCCTCGTTAAAGCAGTCGGAAGGGATTTCACTAATAGACCATTTTACGCAGAATGTGGCCCAACTTCGAACTAATTCGGGATATCAAATTAAATATTCTTTCATTGGCAACACTACACTGACAAAATATCATGCACAAAATTTGAAAATAATATGTCCTTCTCACATCAAATTGAACATTTAAAATTGACATCTGGTTTTGATTAAGTAATGTCTTCGAGTAAAAACCATCGATCTATGATAAATATCTGGTTGCTACTGGACGAAATGTGAGTAAGAATATTCATAATTTTCTCATGATGATGACAAGAATTTGAAAAAATGGTGTCGATAGGGAATATTTGGGATAGCAAAATGGATCCTTCCGATGCTATAGAGGAGGATATGATATAGGATGTGTTTATATATTCCATATAACTCAACCTCATGTATTGGATTAGAAGGTGAAGTAGCGGTTTACATCACGAGAAAAATCAAATATAGTGTGTCAGTGATCTGTGGTGCAATGATGTTTATATCTGTAATACATTGAAATAGAGATTTTGTATAGAGGTTGTTCAATACAACTTCAATGAACTCACATTCTCGCGAGGTATCATCCACACCAGTTTCGGAAACATGTAATTGAATATTATTATTCATTCAATTTTCGTTCCGTCCTTTGCAATTTGATTCTCTGATAACAGGATTATCAGTACGTGGTAACACAAAATAGAGCAACAGTACCTACCTATAGGTAAATATCTGGCTGAAGAGAATCTCGAGATTCCAGATTTTGTTCTCCAGGTGAATAATTTGGTGGACTCTTCACAGTTTTCAACCGTCTACGTCCTATGCTCTCCTAGACCGAAATTAATACTGCAAACTTCTTAGTTCTTTGGCATGATTTCATTCAAACCCTTACCCGATCCCCAATTCGCGAGATTCACGAAGTGGGCGACATCTAGGTTACATAATACGAACTTCAAACTGGGGGAAAACAAACTGTTGTCTATGGATAAAGTGCATAGATTACATTGCATACAGCTGTAGTTGTCAAACTTGTCAATGACATAAAGTGTTGGCACTGTTGGTAGTGATGATGGTTGAGTTGGTTAATTTTTTTACATTATTACATTTTTATTAGTTTAGTGAACAGTGAACGGGTGAAGAATTTGAGATAGTTCAAACAATTCAAACTAATTATGACGAGCAAATAAATTGACATATAAAAGAACAGCTATCACATATTGACAATATCCAGATTGTCCTGCTTTGCAGGAACAAATATAAATCCATTGTTGTAGATGTTCTTTTGGCAGATATTTTGCTCTATTTGGATGGAAAAAGCCGACCAGTAGTGGAAGGAGAAGCAGTTCTCCGTGCTAATCATGTGATTTTGTGTGAGGCAGAATACTTCAACAAAAGGCACATTTTTGCTCTTTGTCTAAAAACTTCGGCGATGAAATCTTCCCCACATGAAGTGAAATTGAAGTTGGGGTCCAGAGGAACACCTGTAGAACAATGGATTTGTATTTGTTCCTGCAAAGCAGGGCAATCTGGGTATTGTAAAGATGTTTTAGCTGTTTTTTTATATGTCAACTGATTTGCTCGTCCTAATTAGTTTGAATTGTTTGAACTATCTCCAATTCTTCACCCGTTCACTGTTCACGAAACTAATAAAAATGTAATAATGTAAAAAATTAACCAACTCAACCATCATCACTACCAACAGTGCCAACACTTGTCATTGACAAGTTTGACAACTACAGCTACTGCAAGCTGTATGCAATGTAGTCTATGCACAGTTTGTTTTCCCCCAGTCTGAAGTTCGTATGATGTAACCTAGATTTCACCCACTTCGTGAATCTCGCGATCAGAGGCGATGGCACATTAGCAACAACGTCGCAAGAAAAAGCAAAAATTTTTGCAGATATCTTAGCAGCAAACTGAACCATGAACTCTTAGGGAAGAGTGCCGCCAGATATTCCTCCAGTTGAAATTCTTTCATCAACGCACTATCAACGGATTCTTCTTGGCCTCAAAACGCATAAGGCTAGTGGTGCTGATGGAATTCCTTCCATTATTATCAAAAAGGGTGCACCAGAATTGACATCGATTCTCTGCAAGATATTTACCAACTTATACAAGACAGGTGTTTTTCCGTACTACTGAAAAGTTGCGTCCAAATAGAGTCCTCAGAAAAGGAATGGTAGAACCTGCCCAACAACTATAGCATATTGTCCTGTTATCAGCTATCTCCAAAGTGATGTGGAAAGCCATCAACATTGAGCTCATGAAATATCTGGAAAGTTCAGTGAATCATTGATGATAGACAATATGGCTTTTACCATCGAAAAACAACTGGAGATTCACTTGCCTACATTACCTGTATATGGCAAGCTCCATTACAAAAACATGGGGAATCGCTAACTGTGGCATCTCATCTCAGCTATGCCTTCTTTTATCGTGTCTTCTTTCAGGCAGATCGCTCCATGTGGTGGTGGACAGGGTATCGTATGATACCATAGCCATCTATTCCGGCGACTCACAAGGATCATTTATGGCACCAATATTGTTTCTGCCCTATCCACAGATGGCAGACGATTCCCATTTCTTCCCATGAAACGAACGACAAATACAGGTCAACGCTGTCAATGGAGATTTTGGTAAAATTACAGCCAGGAGGTACCTACAACCTAGTTGAATACGACGCCACCGAAACTCAAGCCTGCATTTTCTCTAGAAAGGCGGAAATCGATATGCCTGATATATCAATGTCTGGTACCACCATTCCCACAAAATCCAGTAGCTGCTTCACACAAACTCGGTATTTTTAGTCCGTGTGAAGAGCTATTTTACATCTCAACAGCTTCTCATGATCTACGTGGCACATATACGGCCTGTTTTAGAATTATGTTTCCACATATGGGGATCAGCACCCAAACATACGCTGATGCAAAGCTTACTAATTCATTGACTTCTTGAAACACCGTAGAAAAGACGGCGACCTTTCACTTTTTCTTTCGTCAGCAACCTCGAACTATGTCGAACAAATCTTTACCAAAACTCGTTTGTCTATAGAACGACGAAGCTTTGGAATTCTTTGCCACAGGAAGTGTTCCTAAGAACATCCAAAACTTCAGAATAATTTCAATATTGACCTATTCTCCGTATTCGAACATTATAGTTTTTTTTGTTTATGAAAACGAGTTTATCTAAAAAAAAAGAGACGGAGAATGTCAGTTCCATGTTGCTGGTTACCATTGACTTGGATGAATTTTAGGGATATTTATTCACTATATAGTATTTGATTTCTGATAAATAATAATTCAATGACAATCTGGGTACTGTTGTGTAAGATGGCTATAAAAAGCAGATTCATGGATACTGCCATCATAACCTGAATTTTCAGCATCTACATATTCCAGAAACACAGCAAATTTCAATCGTCTGAAAATATAATGATCCACTGAAAAGTATCAAATTATGTTCTTGAGCGATATTGATTTTCCTCATCAAGTAACAATTTTTGGTGGTTTGGAACGTGTTAGAATATTTGTATTGTAGTTGTGTTATCTTCAACCTTATACTTTGTAGTTGCTGTTATATCACTCATATAAATGAATGGAACATGTTTATTTCCAAAAGACAAACAGTAAATAATTGACTAAATTCTAATTTTACCTTATTGATAACTCTGGTACCATTGAATCGCTTAACAAATTCTTCTGGGGTAGCTACGGTGAAATGTTTCTCTTCAAGTCTGTTCTGTATTATAACAGTACCTTGGGACATACTAGGCCTGTAACAAGAAAATACCTAGTTAAGTTTCTCACAAGACCAAAATAAATCCAACTTTTATACAGCATAATTGAAAATTAGTTCATTCAATTCTATGGTGGCACTGAAATGTTTCCTTATTATCTGTAAAAATGAAACGTTTCTTAAAAAATAAGCATGTTCGAAGTCAATATTGACAGACAAGTTTAACTTTATTTGTATGCAACTTCACACGGTTTCGTTTCCGATACAGGGTAATTGTTAATCTGAACCATGATATCTGAACGAATAAAGTTGGGAAATTGAAGGTCATGATAAATAATGAATTATGATGCATAAATGTTCAGATGGTGTTTTTAGTTGGTACGGTAGGTACATACCTGTACATATCTACTAAGATATTTCAGTGTGTAGAGTGATACATTTTCACGAGTAGTAAATGTGCAATTCCTATGAGTGAAAAAATACACTTTACGCACGTGTTTCATGCAAAATGTTCTCTACAACAAACTAAGAAAAAACCTAATTGAATTTATGTGAAGCTATCAAGCCATTTCTCTTCACGCTATGTCATGAAAAACTCGTATTCTTTCAGATATATCTCCTTAGATTTATGATTTATCTGGAATTTTCGCAATATACAAGATCTCCTCTGATCAGTCTGGTCTGGTGTATAAATTTTCATCGCTTTCTTTACTTAGTGATATTATTATCGTATTTAATTATCAAGTATTACTAATTTAAACAGATCACGAGAGACGACTTTATAAACCCTTCAAATCACTTATTATTAATGACATCTGGTTTCTACCAACGAAATTGTCGCAGCCACCTTGATTTGAGTAATCGCTGTATCCGTAACACACGAGCATTCATTCCATCGCCTAGCAATAACCTCGGCAATGACCGTGCAAAAAGTGCAAATTTTTTCACACTATTCCGTGAAATAATTGAACAATATTTTGATATCGAAAAATTACAAACTTGAGGCACATAAAATACATATGAATAGTTATTTGTTTTACTAGGCAGGAAAGTAGTAGATTGATTGTCGCGGCTGACAGTTCATAGCCGAGCGTAGCGAGGCTAGGAATCTAGCCAAGGCAGTCAATTTACATTTACTGCCGTGTGAAACATATAATTTCTGCTCCAAATGTTATGAAACCCATTTTGTGTAGATTTTTTGTTGAAAACTCCATCATTTTTTGTTCACTCAATGTCAGTGTAAATTTGGATTAACAATTTTATTTGAATTTCTTGGAACGAACTTTTCCTGCCTAGGCAGTAAAAGAACATCTTTCATGCCTGTTAAGTGTCAGAGAAAAGGCACTTTCCCTGCTGCTTGGAGAAAAGTGCTTTTTCTGACTGTTGAAGAAAAAAAAAGCCACTCCTCAAATGAAACTAAATTGAAAACATGTAGGATAGGTGACAAAATTTATTTATAAATTGAAAAATAAAAATAACAATACCTATATCTGGTATCTTCAATTTATGCATTCTGTAATTGATGCAAACTGTTCTTCTGGGGAGATCATGTGAGATACCTATTTGTTGCTTCTTGATGTGTGGTAGGTATTGAAGCTGGAGCAGATGGTTGCAGATTCAAATCCATAGGAGTATATTTCGAAAAATGTTAGGGTTCAGGTTGGGGATTGTTCTCATGGAAATGATAACAGAACTCCAGCTGTAGCAGTGCCAAATATTTATAATCTAGGTTATCACCACCGACTTACTACTCTATCTGAACTGCTAGTAGTCATATCGCAGCAACCCGAAATGTAGGGTAAGACGCCTGAAAACGCTTCTGCTCAATACGCTTCATGACTTTGACACGGTATCGAAACCAACCTAGCATCCATTTTGATCATAGGACGCGGCAAGGTGGATGGCGTTGGCTTAAGTATTTTGTTCATGTCATCAGGGGTCGGCTTGATGAAAATAATATCAAAATTGAGTGGTTATATTAATTTTTTCGTTTCATTTTCGCGAATCCTAGGAAATATGGAGTGGATTGTTCTTTGGTGTAACAATTCCACGATTAATAATACTGAAGATGTTTCTTTTCATCGGTGAGTTTGTGGGTGATGAATAATCTATTATTTTGATTTGCTTTCATCAGTTCAGCAAGTATTTAAATCAAATAAAATCATGCATGTTTTGTATATTCATTCAGCTGTGAAGAATTTGAATTCAGGCTTGAGGTGCCAAACCTGCTCATCTATTTTAGACTATTTTGGATTAAAAGTTTACTCATTCAATATTCAATAATGATTCTAGGATTCCTAGAAGAATAAGAGAAATAAATGGTTTGAGGCTATTATTTATAATTTATACCTACCCCCCTTTTCTCCTTTTCTTTCTAGCTCTATTTCTCACTAGAGGGCAATTTTCGATTTTTAAATGGAACACCCTGTATTTCATTCTACAGGGTGTCTCGTAATTACATAGAAAGATTTCAACCACATATTTTAGAAACAAAAATAGAAAAAAAGTTCATATATATAGAAATGGCCTCCTGGGTAGTTGAGATAACTTAATTTTGTACATACATATGACGTTTCATGCCCGAATTGGAAATGTAGAGAATTTTCCGAAATGTTGATCAAGGGCGTGGGAAATAAGGGGGGATAGGGGCATATCTTCCCCAACTTTTTTTCTATGCAATTTTCGGCAGGTTGACCAGGAAATATTAAAATATTTTCACCTGAAAATATAATACTCTTGTTCAATTTCTTTTTTAGTTTCACCATTTTCGAGATTAAATCGATTTTAAAAGTCTGCTGCGTAGTAAAAATATATTTTACTACTTTTTCTTAATAGGGTACCTACTATAATATTTTTGAAATTCTTCTTCTTATTGTTCCTCTCATATTTTGAGTCAAACATCACAAGTAGATAATGGAAAAAGGGTATTTTCGATCGAAAAATAATTTTTGGGGAAATTTGGTATCCTATTTTGAAGAAAAAGCCGAGGAAAAAGCACTATTTTTGCTACGCAGCAGACTTTTATAATTGATTTATCTCGAAAATGTTAAGTGCTATTGAAACTGAACAGGAGTATCATTTTTAAGTAAAAATTGCATAGAAAAAGAAATTGGGGAAAGAAATGCCCGTATCCCCACCTATTTTCCACGCCCCTTATCAAAATTCCGGAAAATTCACAAATCGCAAAACCACTTTTCTTGCCTTTCTCATAGTTTCTTCTACACAACTCTTGACCCAACTCAAAACTCGGTGAGAAGTAATACACAGAATCTATGACAAAAAGACATTGCAAGCCGGTAATTCCGATTCAGCGTTGAAAAGCCTACATATTATTTTTGCCGGAAATATGAATTGGAGCTATCAATTGCATGCAATGAAATATTGTTAACTGTAAAGCGGCTCTTAGAAAATTTTGTTTTCCGCGTGTGATGCTTCATGGTTGTCAGTTGTCAGATGCCATCGAAAATTGCATTTTAAACTAGTTTAAATTGAAGGTAATAATGCGATTTGTTCCCATTTGATAAATTTTGAATTAATTCACGACTTATTTGAAAAAAGTCATTTGAATTAATTCACGAGTTAAATCACTGACTTAATTCATATGAATTAATTCGTGCCAACCCTGGACATAACCCAATCAAACCCGGTATTGTTGAATTCGTTATGATAATCCCTAACCGATTATGGAATACAATACAGGGTGTCCCATTTGAAAATCGAAAGTTGATGTCATTTCCAGGAAAACCGGAAGATAAAAAAATTCTAAAATGTGAGAAAATACTCTCTACTGAGCATATTCGATGTTCCAAATTTCAGGAATATAGCTGAAAAACCAAACGAGAGATCCTTAGCCAATGTGTGTTCTGTGTAGGCTTTGCTACTAACTCCATACGCCACCTTAGGAGCAGCACTGTTGATTGGTACGCAACAGCGAATCGTGCGGAATCATCTCCGGCCGAGGCAACGACAATAAGAGTTTATAACTCGTTTTATAGATACAAATTTTCTGCTCTATCGGGTTATCGAACCTACCAACATTTCGGTGTTCTGATTGCTAATCGAGCGCTCAACCACTGCGTTTATTCTGCCGTCTTCTCTTTCATATCTCCTTAGATTTGGAATAATGAACTTGAGAAAAGTCCCTGTTCCTTAAATTTGCGAGCCCTCATTCCCTTCCGAAATTAATAAACAACATTATTGACCACCCTGTATACGAGGCTTCAAAAGAAATTGGAAATTTTGTATCCGAAGAATCGATGTCCGATCGATTTTTTCCACTTTCACACGTTTCTCCCGAGGGGTAAATCACCTTGGGATTATGGGATTCCAGCTTCCAGCGGGATTCTTTAAGATTCAAGTGGAATTCCAGTAAGATTCCAGTGAGGTTCCGTCGGATTCCAGTGGAATTCCAGTGGAATTTTGGTGAACACATTTTTCGAAGGTGATTTACCCCTCAGTTTCTTCCAATCAGATATGAAATTATCATGCTCCCAGGAAAACAAAACAGTATGTGCAAATTGAATATTGTTTGTTTGAACAAAGATTCTCCACTTACGACTCTTCCGTGGAACAACAACACAAAGACTATTAAATAAAATTGGTGAAAAGAGAAATTTCAATGGACACGTCCATTTACTCCGACAATTACTTGCCGAATTTCATCAATAGGTTAGATTTGAGTCACTGGATGGTATTAGTAAGATAAGAGTTCGGACACAGAAATGACAACTGTTAGTGTTTTTGAATGTTCAGATTTATTAAGTTACACACATTGCATTGTCGTTCCGCGCTCTTTCATTAAAAATCGTTTGAATTTGACAATACATTTTATGAACGTTAGAATTGAAATATAATTTCATAAACTAGTAAGAAAAAGGAATGAATGAAAATGTCCTGCTGTGTAATGAATTGTGGGAATTCTGAAGAGAATGGATTTCATTTCTTTGATTTTCCGAAGGAAACTTCAACCATTCCTTATAGAAGGAACGTTGAAAACGGCCTGGATGTAGAATTAATTTGAAGTTGCAACTGAAAATTAGTGATCATTTACAGTTGCAACTGTAAATTAGGCAAATATTCGTGAAAAAAAAGTTTTTTCAGGATGGCAGTTCAGACACGTCGAATTATTGGTAACTATGGAAATGGAAATAATTCAAAATTTCTGATTGGTATAGAGTTACTCTATGAATACCCGCGTATAATCGAAATTATACAAGGTAACTTAACTCAATTGTTCTAATTGATATAAAATCATACGAAGAAAATAATTGCGGAAACACTAGCTTTCTTTCAGTTCTGATTAGTCTGAGTGTTGGTGTTTTCAACGATGTAACTATGGGTAGCGAGATGGATAGCAAACTCTGTCAGTTTGACATAAAATAATTATAGTTGTAGCTGTCAGAATGAATCGGTTTGGTTATACGGCTTGTTCATTTATAATAAATAATGCTTCTAATGCTTCGTGAAGTAGTCTAGCAAAATACCACTTTGTTCTGAATATCTCCTCATAATTCGGTCTCTCATTGTTAACTCAATTGTGTTCCCATACAGCAACACAATTTGTAATATAGGTAGTTCCTACAGTTCGTGAAGAATGATTTTCCAATAACTTATTTATGTAAGAAATAGCACCATCCTGAATCACAAAATATTCATGCCATAATTATGATCAACTTGATATAGATATATAGATAAATAGGAACCTGCAAGAATTCATTAATTCCGAACAGCATCAAATGAGCATTTTGATTTCCATCTAATGGAATTCCATCGAATACTATTCTTTCAAACCAAACGGAAGATCAAAATTAATCAGGAGGCAAAGATTCAAGTACTGAATGGTAAAAACATGTAAAAATAAGAACTGTTCAATTAATTTCGAAATCTAATAGATTTTAAAGTGTGAATATAAGTGCGAGAGCGGCGTCACTGAGAACTGAAAAATGTCGAGACAGATACGAATTTGCTATTCAAATAGCCATTTTTTATGTTGAAAACGGGAGCAGATTCGGCCTCGAAACGTACGAAGATAAGTGAAAATTTGATATTTTTTCTATATACCTTTATTTCTCTTCTCCAAACCTTTTTCAATACAAATTGTCACTGACAAGCTAGTGAATTTTTCACAGTGACATTTTTGGGCAAATCATATGATTTGTCCTTACTACACGTATATTGAAATAATATTCATATTTTTATTTTATAGGAACGAGGAGAGGAAATCCCAAAAAAAATGTAATAATGCATGTACCACCTCCTCGATTAACCTACAGACAGTATTTTACTACTTTACTTTCAGAACCATGGACGAATTTCTGAGGGTTCATCTCGTGCCTTTTCGTGAACCATACTTACGTCAGAGTTTTCGTGACTTGCAAATTCGAACTGCTGGTCGGCCAACTGGAAGCGAGGTTCTGCTGGAAACTGTCATTGCTAGGACTCTCCGATATCGTCACGTCCGGCAATTGACAGCTGGTGTCGTCATCGCCATCACCAATGACGAATCTTCTGCTGTTCCTCCGTCCTATCTTTGCCTTTCTGTTCATCATGATTTCCGCCCACTCCTCGCAGTGGTCGATTTCACTGTTGTCTTTATCGTTTATACTGTCTCTTTCGATGGATTTGTGTTCGATTTGTTGTGTTCGTGTGGCGAAATTGTCGCGGTAAAATAAGTTTGAACTTCGAAAAAAATTAACAACGGTCCCCAAAAATTGGTTCATAAAAAAATGTATGGTAACTATAAGGGTATACAAGAATTTATCTCCATTTTCTTCACATCACTTCTTCAAAGTAGATTGAACTTTTCAATAATTCGACTTCGACCTATTGACACATATATGAATGTTAAAAAAATCCACGAACGATGAGATTGCCACAGAATTCCAACATCGATTTGATTAACTCAATATATACAGGGTACTCACGACGAGCTGAGTTGATATGAATATGCGAAACTACAGGAAACTATACTAAGACTAGTTTTCAGATTTTTTTTCTACAACTTCTGGTGATACGGGAAATGTACCTCAAATGCGTTATTTTGAATGGAATGTACAGTTTTTTACATGAGTAGCTGTGAATTGTTTGTTCAACAGAATGATGGCACACTTCAAAATCACATGCGGTGTCGAAATATCTAACGAATAAAACACTGACGATAATTTCAGTGACATTCACTACCACATTTGAAACCATTTCTATTCAAGAGGCCCAGTCAGTACATCATATCGTCGTCAACCTTGAAATATGTCGAAAAACACTCTACCAAAACTCGTTCGTCTAAGAAAAGTGAAAAACTTGTCAAAAGAATATTGTAGAACAGAAAAAAAAATTGAAGAATTATTGATGATCAGAGCCTACTATTTAATAGCGGCGTAATGGCTTGGGGTTGTTTTTTGTCAGTCTGCCTGTATACTTACGAACCTAAAGGGTCATTTTCGTAAATACATGGTATTTCAGATTGTAATCAGGAAAATTTAATAGGCGATGGAAATCGTAAAAATGAAAACAAAAGTTCATGTGAACTTGTATGTGTTGGAACTTAGTTTCCGAGATACAAGGTGTTCTTTGAAACAGTTTTTTATTCACAGATCAAAAATTCCTGAGCTGATTTTCGTTAAACTTAGCAGGTTTGTTCGCAACATGAAGATGTATCTTTTGGCGTAACTAGATTGACCGTAATTATTCCAGTGGCACCCCAGAGGGTTAGCTCTGATTGACATCTATGGTAAAAATCATTGTACTCCATTGTCTCTAGTCTGAGATGAGTTTTTTCGTACAGGGAATACATAAACACCTTGGCCACCCCCTCATCTGGTAAACTAGAATGGATGCAAAAAAGATTGAGAATAGAAGTGGTTTATAGTTTTTTTTAAATGTCAACTATACAGGATGATCCATATGCCTGTGACATACCAAACATACGTTTTTTTGAATGGAATAAGACGAGTTCGATGATACATCATATCTGAGAACACACGTTTGGGACTCATCCATGATCGTCTTCAATAAGTAGTCAAATTTCAAAAGCCTCTAAAAACGTTGTGGATCAATTTCTCTGTGCGCGTTTTTTGTTATAAATCAACAAATTCTGTTCTCTTCATCGTATACAGGGTGTCCCTCCGGGAACTGCATCGATCGATATATGTATAGAAAACTATAGGTGGGCCGAATTTGAAAATTTGGTAGTTCACTATTGTTGATAAGTGCTATCCGGCTAAAATATTTCGAAGATTGTGGCACTTCCGGTTGTACCTAAGAAAGAACGAAATAATGCTCAGAGTAAATTGAAGAGATCTAGGTCAAATTCCGACTGGGAAGCTTATAAACGTTTACGTAATTCAGTACTTACAAATATTAGGAATGAAAAGAAAGCATATATTGATAATTTTTGCAAGGCCAATGATAGCAAATCTGTCTGGAAAACATTGAGAAACTTCAAGGTTGTTAAGAATAAAAGCAATTCAATTCCTGATTATATTTCAGACGCGAATGATATCAATGATTTCTTTTTACAAATTTGGTCTGGGTCTCGATCGGGGTCTTCTGATGATACCTGTTGAGATGCAATGCATTTCTATGAAAATGAAACGTTCGTACAAGGAACTGCTCACCACCTCAGCTATGCCATCTTTTGAGTTTTACTTTAGGCAGATCGTTCCATGTGGTGGTGGACGGAGTATCGTCTGATATCATTGCCATCAATCCCCGCGTCCCAAAAGGATCAATTATGGCACCAACATTGTTCCTACTTCATATCAATGATCTGTTGGGAGCAACCACTTGCCCTATCCACAGCTTTGCAGACGATAGTACTCTCCATACCGTTCCATACTGCGTTCTCTTCTAGAATTTCCATTTCTTTCCAGGAAACTAAGAAACTTACGACGACGGCAGGCCAACGCTGTCAATGCAGATCTTGCGGAAATTACAGCATGGGGAACCAACAACCTAATTGAATTCAACGCCACCAAAACTCAAGCCTGTATTCTCTCTAGAAAGGCCGAACTCAGTATGCCTGATATAACAATGTTTCCTACTACCAGCAATATTCACAAAAACTTTTTTTTATTCCGTGCGACAATCTACTTTACACCTCACCAACAAAACACAGATACGGCCAGTTTTAGAATGTCGCTCTCACATATGCACCCAAACATATGATGGTGCTCTCAGATGTCACCCACAGAAGATACCTTCGCCTGGTGGGTGATGCCACACTCACTAATGATTTGACCTCATTAGAACATCATAGAAAAGTCGGTGACCTTCCATTAGATTCCACGAAAAATGTTCGTCAGAAATCTCTGCTATCACAGTCCGCACATTCTCCCGTTGTCAACCTTGTCGAACAACACTATACCAAAACTCGTTCGTATATAGAATGGCGAAGGTTTGGAATTTTTTGCCAATGGAAGTATTCCCAAGATTTTATAAACTCCAAAAGTAAAAAAAATCAATATCTACCTCCTCTCCCTATCCTCCCTAGATACGCATGATGTTCTTTGAACATTATAGGAATTTCCTTTCGTGCGCTCAAGAGGTAAACAAATTTTGGGTAGACTAGACTTGCTTTGTCGAATACCCGGAATTCCTGGGACTACCCAAGGAATTCCTCGGACTACCAAAAGAATTCCTGGACTTCCTAAAGAATACCCGGAATTCCCAAAGACTATCTGGACTAGCCAAGGAATTCACAGACTTCCGAGAAGTTCCCGGACCTCCCAAATACTATCTGGACTACCGAAATAATTCGCGGACTTTCAAAGGAATTCCCGGACTTCCCAATGAATACCCGGACTACCCAATGAATTTCCGGACTTTCCAAGGAATTCCTGGAATTCCCAAAGACTACCTGGACTTTCCGAGGGATTCCCATCTCAGGTACACTGGACTTCCCACGTGATTTACCTCTCGACCTATAGGTACAGAGATAGACTTTTTACCAAGTAGTGTGACAGACCGGCCTGCTTTGGACAGTGCACCAGTTCATCAAACTCAGCCTGAAAAACAAAATACCATGGATGATAATCCAGCTACTGAAACTTCGAATCATCCAAATACCTCTCGGCTCTCAGCGAGATCTGATCAATCAGGAATCCTTACAAAATTTTCCTGGCAAATTCATAACTCCAGAAGAGCTGTGTGGCTATCCTAACGCTGAACCAAGAAAGGCAATACGCCAAGGTCGAAAAAAAGGGAGGAGTATGATTCCGACTGACACTCCGGAAAAAAATTAATTGGAAGAAAGACGCAGTAAGAAGAATCGTTCATTTGAAAACCAGAAAAAGACAGATGTAAAACGTAAAATACAGGAAAGTGACGACGACGAAGAAGAAGAATGGCATTTAGATGGTTCTTCTGATAACTTCGAGGTCGAAGTAGATCCCACAGCTTTCGAAGACTTGGAAAAGACCCCTGCTGAAGAGGATTTTGTTCTGGTAGAATATGAGGTAGAAAACGTAAAATCTGAAAGCGTTTATAACATTGGAAAACTGTTGTCATCTATGACTGATAAAAATGAATTTGGTTTCTTGAGGAGAGGTACAAAAGTAGAACAACATTTTTATTTTCCGAACGTTCCAGACACTGCAACCATCTCACTAAATGGCATTAAAATGATTTTGCCAAAACCTGACAGACAGAACTCTTATTATTCATTTGAAATTAAGTTCAATTTGATTGATATTCGCTAAATATTACTATTATTTTGTTCGTATGTTACCATATTGTATGTTCAAATATAACTTCATATTTCATGTTGGTGTCCCATTGTTATCCATAACTCTGTCTCACTGTTTACTAGAGATGGGTAACAGTGAGACAAATGACATGAATTACCTCGTGAATTACTTTTAAAATACCTGTACGTTCAAATATTACTTACAATGGTTAACCACCTAACAAAGTTGTTATTTACATGGTAAAGTAATATGTATCCAAGCTTGTATGGAGCTTTATTGAATCCCTAGAATGCCAGGGTGCTAACAAAATAGTTACTTTGCTCTGGGTGCCTGGACATCAGGGGGTGGAAGGAAACGAGAAAGCCGACATCCTCGCCAAACAGGGAACCGAATCTGTGTTCATAGGACCAGAATCATATTTTGGGGTCACCGCAAGTGCGGCGAAAACAACTATCTCGGGCTGGGCGGAGGGAAAAACACTCACGTACTGGTCTGAATTACCAGGATTAACCCATTCGAAGGCGCTCCTGCCTAAACCATCTGAAAAAATAACCAGGCAGATCCTAGAATGGAGGAGGGGTAACCTGCGAATTCTGACTGGACTGCTCACGGGACACTGTCGTCTAAGATACCACCTGGGAAGGATGGGTCTGAACCAACAAACGGACTGTCGGTTCTGTTGTGTGGAAGACGAAACGGCTGAACATATATTATGTTCATGCTCTAGCTTAGAAAGACTAAGGTTCGACACATTTGGCTTTACCAATTTAGAACCTATCGATTTCAGACAAATCTCACCCAATTCAACCATGAACTTTGTAAAAAGATGTGGATTGTACGGTGAACTGTAACCTCTAGGGGTGAGCCAGTGGTCGCAGTGGAGGGGAGGTATTCGCCCCACTCACATGGAACCTAACCTAACCTAACCTAACCTAACCTAACCTAATATGTAGAAGAGAAAATAATGTTTTGTTTCCAATATAAGTTGAATTATTGAATATTGAAGAAAATGCGTGTCACTGTTACCCAGTATCACTTACCCCATATTCTAGGGTTCATATCTCGGTTCATATCGTGAAGTTTTAGACCTAAGCAATCCACCTCTACCTCTGACTTGAGTCTGCTTTCAATAGTTTCACT